GAAGCATAAATTTGTTGCAAAACTTCAGGAAAACTAGATTTCGCCATTAACGGGCGTATTCTATACATTATCAATACATAATAGTAATTTTCATCAAGTAATCAAGTGCTTGATGAACAAAGCGAAGTTGGCTTAGAAGGAATCGATGATAAGAAACTGTCATTCGGGAAAGGAATGTGCCTACCTTTTCGAAGAGATCAACGTCTTCCAAACCCCATCCTTCGATTTTCGTGTCAAAGCCACCAATCGCAATAAGATCAGCCTGAAGAAGATTATTTTCATGAGCTAGACCATGGACTACGAAACCTTGTCGGAAAAGACGTAAGCAAAAATAGAATGTTTTCCGAGTTACCTTATACAGGGCAGCTAATCCATAACCAAAGTGCCTGAAATATCCTCTCCTGCGGCCGTAGTGGAATGCATCCGCTAGCAAACGATCATTCTCCGACCAACTTTCGGGAGAGAATTCCGAGAATACAATAGGAAAGTAAACCTAAAACCAAAGGAAAGAATGTGATGTAAGAGCTTAAGGGTAAAAATGGTCAACGAATTTTATCTAAAGACCGCTGTCCACTTCTGAAAATGAAAGAAACGTTTCATACAATATCAAAGGAAAAGGAATAAGAAGGCAGTGGTATGAACTTACTTGAGCATTGAGAATCGTGTTCAATCTGACTCGATTCAATGCATCACAAGTGAAAAGCATGTCCACGTCGGTGAAGAACATCAGTCCATCGGCCGGAACCCTATCGGCACCTTTCATCAGAGCTACTCCTCTACTGAACGGTGCATCGTCCATTTCAACAACTTCTACTCGAACAAAACTTTGGCGCAATTCCTCGATGGTCGCGCTGTAAGAGGGAAACAACAGGAATCGGTGACGGTTAACCATTTCCTCAAAAAGTACCAAAAAATGGGAATCTTACCGATTCTCTCGTTCGTCCTCGCTCGCGTATAGAACAACTACCAAAGATATATCGCCGGCCCTTGCGCACACATTCTTTAGATGGCCTGCGAACCTATAACAAGGAGACGCCTCTGCACACTCGAAATAACATTAAACTGTCTGACTTCGAAAGCAATGTCAATCTGAAATTGAGACGCCACTGACAATGAGAAAAACTATGGAAGATACCTCGCAAAGATAGCAGCACGTCCTTTCAACGGTAAAATCATGTGCAAGTGGGCGTTTTCTCCTGTGAAATTGCTACCTCGTCGTAGATTAGACCTGTAAACCCACTAAAGTACTTCTTCTTCAGATTCGATTACGAAGCTTCACTCACCTTAAATTCTTTTCAGACAAAGCCTGTAGAGGAGCAAACACTTGCTGAACATAAGCATGGCGCCGTACAGATAAGGTGGTTCGATGAGGAGGTCGGAATTTTTTGAACCTGAACGACTACTGAGTGAGATGCTTACTGAACGTCTTGTTATTAGACCTGCGACTAAGATACAGCAACGCAAACTCAGAGTAAATGGAATGGGTGTTTTCTTTGAGAAAAACTGTATGTTACAAGAAAATTTGAAAGTCTGACGAAAAAATAAAACAAGCCAAAAAAGAGGCGAAAGAAAGTTGCACTAGGTACGAGTTTACGAGCACCCCCAATCGTAGCGGATGCGACCTTGATTCAAAACTGTATATCTCTCAAGAGCAATCCTGACTGTGTAATGTAGGGTCAAACCGATAATGTAGAAAAAAAAAACCCAGAATGCAGAAAAAAAAACACACCAAAGAATCATGTCCAAAACGTAGTCCACTCCATAGCGAGGTTCAACCCGCATGTAGCCATACTGCAGACTTTGGAATTGGAGAACTCTTCCTCTTTGCCGAGCATTAGAATTGAACTCTTCGAAAAGCTGAAACAGTTGATTAACTGTCGGTTGAAAAACATTATTTTTGTAAGATTTCAAAGGGCAACCCACTCACTTGAGTCACAATATCACCCATTTCCGTCCTTATGCTCAGGTCTACCGTATGCCTTGGGCAGTTCACACGATCCGCACAGAATAGAATCTTATTGTTGTTTATATAGTCCCAAGGTGTCAAATCTCGAGAGCTGAAGAGAAGAGCTTGATCGATACTGTAACCAATACATTCATGGAAACTGATTATGTCTAAGGTAGAGAGAGAATTCCAGCCATTTGAACAATTTCTCTCAAGCGCCCAAAACGCAAACAAAGGAAATTCTCATCAGTGCTTTCCCAAGCCACACTAACCGTTGCTTAGAGCAGAGCCAAGAGGCGGAGCGCTTTTTGTTGAACATTGAAGCGCTGAGTTACTCATCGCCTGAGCAATAAGAGAATCGAGTTCATTCAAACGCCTTCAAGATTTGGAAATAGTCCCGATAAGTAGAAATGAAATTCATCAACACCGAGATACGCATATGCCATCATCGTTGAGCCAGGTTCAGCTTTTCTTGCCCTAACTATCACAACGCAAACTCACTTTGCATCAATTTTCATCACCAAACCTAATCAATGAATTTCCATGTACGCTTCGACTAGCAAGCGAAACGTTGACTGAACCGTTTGAGAACGGAAACATTGTTTTTACGACGGATCCTCTCACCTGTTGGGCATTATCCGTACCAGTGTAGGCTGTTGCACATCACTGCGCTCCGTACGCAGGGACACCCGCCGTGCTCTCAATGCTTGAAGGCGAAATGCACGATCGTGGGCATGAACGCGACGCATCACTGCTGGATCTTTGATGGGATGTACTGTTATGGCGGCCCTGACCTCCGATAAATCACCCGTGTACGCCTGAAAAAGCTCGTTCCCATTCATCATCTATCACACACAGCGGTCATGGAGACCGTTTCATTCGATTCCATTTATTCTGAGTGGCTATGGCAACTCGAGACCCGGACTCGCCACAACACAAAACTGGTTCCCACAAGGAACCATTAAAGTAGTTGCATTGTAAACAAAGGTTATACATACCCTGGACGTGGTCTGGTTGTTATGAAACAGCTTCTGCATCTCATAATTCCACGTGCAGGCCACACCCACGTGCCGTCGAATACATCGACCAAGTTCGACGTCTTCATGGGTTGTCAGTAAGTGCTGCAGACACGACTCCAAATGTGGAGAAAGCAGTCTGAACGAAGATGTTTCATGTCATAAACAGCCTTCAGTAAGCTAAGAAATGTACCGTAATGTCTCCCTGCTCATAACAACACCTGGTCCACCCATACAGTAGTTGTCAGTGGAACCGAGAGCTAACAGTCCATACTCAGCACTATTTCCGAGACCTGCTTGTCCAATGGCGTGAGCCCTGGAAAACACAATCCTCAACTTCATAAGTCACCATATAACATCAAGGGGAAGTAACAAACCTGGACGAGTCTAGAGAGCGTAGGAACTTCTCCAACTCACTTCCTCGGACGTATAAATCGTCATCAGCTCTCAAAAACCAATCGAATTCGTCCAACTATAAGGCACTGTGGTAATTAAGGAACAAGCCACCGTAAAGAATTGTTCCATAGGGTTTTTTATAGTAATGAGTTTACTATTAAGTTTGTGTTTTCCACGGCACGATAGTGATCAAATGATACATGAAAGTTATAAAAAATAAGGAAAAAAAGAAGGCAGAATGAAAGAAGCGCCGACGTAATTTGATACAGCCTACGTCGTGTCCTTGAACTCTTTATGAAACGTTTTTAATTTGATGGTCAGCTCAGTCATTAACGTCATGGCTGATTTTAGGTGAATCGCAAAACGGAGTGGGCGACTCTTTCATAGAGTTAAAGTAAAGCATCGCGGACTCTATCGTCATCTGTATGCATCCCGTCCTCAGAAGAAAAGAAACTAAAACTTCTTCGATAAAACAGCAGATGGGCCGAGAATATGTAGAAGCCAGTAATATATGCTTTTTGAAACGGTTCCCGCAATGTTCCACCAGAAATCAGAAATCGGAGTCGTAGACTTCAGAAGACCTCCACAGCCCGGAACGGTTGCTATTACTGAAGGACCTCTCCGTTTTCCTAATTGTCATCGTAGCAGTAGGGACTACAGCGAACCATGCAGCTTCGTTTTTTCGTATGCTAACGAATCGTGGAAGGATGAAGTTTTCCTTATCGGTTAGTGTCTTTGTTTAGGTCACATATCCGCTACGACTAGACTACTGTGTGTATAGAAGAGCGGAGAAAAAACAGTTAGTAATTGATTCATAAAATCAGTTTTGGGGCAAGCTAATGTTGAGGTCATAGTTTTGAACACAATAAACGGGTCTGACGTCCTTTGAGCTATTTCAAGAAACCAGAAGACTTAGATGACCTTGAAAACTTCGAACCAGATTATAGACGGTGAAGTTCCTCCAACTCCTGCTTCGACCAGATGAAAAACCGAAGAGATGTCCGGTCAAGTCGTGCCGTTAGCTTACGGAAGTGATCAAAACCTCCAGACAGATGACTCATCGCTAGATCCTCTTCAGGTGCCTCTCCCGCGCGTTCTTCTGATTCTGATTCATCATTAATGGAATGCTGATGACAGATATTACTAATTCATTAGCACTCATCAGCTGGTACAAGCATGTTGTAACGGCATTACGTAATCGAGTATGCCATGTGACTTCTATCAACAAAAACTGACTCGAGGTCTTGAAAACACAACCGCGACCAACATCTCCCCCTTCCATCATCCAGCAGCGCCGAAATGTAAGGGTGCCAGGCGCCATCGAATATGTTTACGGCTCATCAGACACTGTTAACGAGCGGAAATTATGCGAAATTATTGGAAAGAGCATAAGAACGATGTCGACCTTCAAAATATGCAATGAATGGTGATTCAAAGACGAACTCGCTCGTCATGAAGAACTGGTTGCATCATAATCGACAGCCTCTCAAGTCACTCTTGAGGCACCCATACACACCCACAGATGGCCAATTCGAGGCCATTAAATGATTATTTAGGAAAAAGGATGAGTAAGGGCTTGGCTTTCAGCAACCGGACTCACGTAATTCTCCGCCATCCACTTGACCATCGCGAAGCTTTTCTTCTGCGGTGGATACGTGTCGTCGACGCCTTTCAAACGTATAAGCGGTAGATCCGGATGGATGGATTCTGTATTTTCGGCCACGAAGAACAACACCTGAACAATACTAGTCAAGTTTTTCTCAAGACCTAATACTCTAGGAATAATAACCGTGAGAAAAAGTTAAACGCGTAAGAATGTAGTAGGCCTGATCAGAAACGAGACATACTTTGCCTGGAACGTGTTTTGCCCATGTCTTCCAGACATTATAGGCTCGCGTATCGACGTACTTTGCAGCCGTCATAATACCCATCAAAATCAGACCAGTTCGATGTTGGGTCTCAACCAACTGCTCGCATTCTAGTGATGTAAACCGCTTCTGAAGCCGAGCAACAGACGACACGCAGTAACTGAAATAAATTAGGAATTGAATAGCCTATGAAAAGTGAAAATGAATCTGAGGATGACAGTCACTTCTCATCTAGAGCAAGTTAGAACTGAGGTCTGAAAAATTCAAGGACACCCTTAAAGCTACTGCTCAAATTCATAAGTCGAAAATCGATACTCTCGAAACCACTCCCAACTTGCAAGGCCCAGAACAGCAAATGACTGGTATTTTTGGAAGCGCTACTATCCTCACCCAAGACCTCACAGGCTTAGAAAAATTCCCTTTTCATGGTTCTCTTGGAGTAGGCTGACGCATGAAAAGTGCTAGGTTTATGTACTGAAGAACCACGGGCAAATAAGTTGTATATGTAGAACCATGTTACCAGCAGAATCCACTATTCCGAAGCTGTCAACGCGACAGCTTCGGAATTGTGGATTCTGCTCGTAACATTGTTCTACCTATACAAGGTTTGGGCATACCAATGCTCTTTACTCATATTGTTATTTCTAGTAAATTAGTACAAACAAAAGAGGAAGAGAACACAAAGTGTGCAACTACTGATTACGGACAAGTATCTCGGCACGAAACAAAAGCAAAAAACAATTTACTACTCGGAAGAACTCACGTCAAAGATAGACCTAGCAGTGTTCCTATCAAGGTGAGGAAGATGGGACGGGATACGGGCATATTATATGACTGAAAAGAATAATCTAAAATAGCACTTCAACGATAATCTGTATTACAATTTAATTCACTCGGTAAAGCCAACAAATGTATGCACTAGATCACACTTTGGAGAGTAATACAGACATAAAGTAATATCCCAACATTCGTCAGAAACCACTTAACAAACATTAAAAAGTTATTTTCGAAATTTTGGAGCAACTTCTGACGTTGTCAATCGAGTTTACAACGAACATTATCAAAGGCATGACATAACATGCACTTTAAAGCGAGGAGTTATAAAAAAAATAAATAACCATAACGTTAGCGCCTGGGCTCTCAAAAATAACTTGATAGGAACCTCAAAAAAACTCACCCTCTTCAATCTCATCGGTTCTTATCAGCCTCAGATCAACACCAGAAACACTTGAAAGAGATATCAGCTCCTAGATGAATGGGTGTCAACCCAACAACACCGTAATGACGCCGTCTTCGATATCGGTCTTTGGTATAGTGATGTGCCTGAAAACTTGTTGAATTGTTAACCTCAACCAGACACGAAGACACGGAACCGAAGCAACACACACTAGACAGACACCAGGACGGCCGTGCACGCGTAAACATAACAGAAGTGAGCGCCGCGGTCCACCTGCCAGAAAAAACCACCGGCTATTCACGCTGTGCTTGCGTGTGTGTGGAGGTATTGGACATTGAACCTTCAATGACCATTGAACTTGATAAAATGATCGGAGAAGCGTGGCACCGAGCGAATACGACCTCGACCACAATCCGAACAACGTACTACTCAAACGGTCGTACTCGTTGACTTCGTTTCTAATCTCGGCAATTGGAAAATCTCGTCCTCACTCGGCGCCGCCGAATTGCCGTGTGAGCGCGCATTTACAGCAAAACGGTTGGTGTCCGCAAAACTTTGCAACTCACCGACACAGTTCTCGGCATTTCCAATTCCAACGAAAATAGATCAGAAGAAATAATTTCGAGCAATACTCAGAAATCAAGTTCCAACAGGTGCAATTAAGCGATGCGATGAGAGATCATATGATTTCAAGAAATCAGGAAGGAAGAAGTCGCAGTGCTACACCATTTTGAAGAAGAAACGGTTACGAATGAAAAACGCCCGAAAGCCGAATAAGGCCTATTTCATGGCGCTCCTACGCGATTGCTCTCAATAAAAACGCAAAGCGCATCTCCATTCAATGAGAAGTGATGTTCTGAAAGGATTTCCCGGAATCTTCACATGTTCTTTGCACTGGATAATCTAAGAGGAAGCGAAGAAACAAGCTAAGAAGAAAACATTTGCAAAAACAGGATTTGATAGACATTAATGATCATAAAACCATCGACAAAGGCTGACTCTATTCTTCAAAATTCTTTCGAGGGATATCTTGCACGGGGAATCCTTATCTGAAAGTGATTCAAAAAGGACGTAATGAGCTCTCAGTGAACCTCTTCTCAAGTTTTCGATGAGCGCCGCAACATGCAAAAATTGTTCGAACTACTGAATGGACTAGTGAACGAGCTGATTCGATTTGGACTATTCAGTAGCTACAAGGACAAGCTATCGGTCTGATAGGACGATGCGGAGAAGGGCATCTGAGTGATCACCGCCAGAGCATAAGGCATAGTGTAAATGGCGATATTCTCACGGTAGTTCCCATTAGGACAGCGAGGTCGAATAAAAAAAAGTTGGTAACAAGGCCTCGCAAAAAAGAGCAAAAGAGAAAAACTCCTGAACCTCCAGATATCAGTTAAAAAGACTGCGAGAGCCTTGAAAAATGCTGAACATGAACTCAAACTCAATCACGTATATAGTCTAAGTTTCGAAGACGTGTTTGAAGACTCAAAAATATGGCAATGTCTTCATATCCCAAAAATTCTTGTACTAGTGAGAGCAGGAAAGTAATGGATGATGCTTGAACTCGAAAATCCGGTTCGAGACGTGACTCAGACAGAGCAGTTTTTCGTATTTCAGCTACATGCCTTCAAGAGGAAAAAAAAAGGAAACAGCCCAGAAATTTGTAGAGGAATCAGAGGGAGCTTTGATCAACTATCTTTTCATTAAACACAAGGCAAAATCAACATGAATTGGATACAAAAACAAGAACAAGGTAGAATATTTCTGAGAAACTTGCTGCTTTACAGGTAACTTCACATCTGTTTAGGAATGTAGACCACGACCTTAAGCAACGATACACCGGCGACGTATTACGACGAGTATGAGTAAGTCGTGAAAACAAGTTTTTATGCATTAGGCAAAAGAGTGCAAAACACTTAACATTCCCTTGTATGTCGAAAGCAATTGTTGAAATGGAATAAACATTATGATTGGAATGAAGAGCTGTGCTAGTCACCAAGTAAATGAAAATAGGCTGCCAAATAGTCAATCTGATTGCTGTGAAGGAGAAATGAAATGAAAACGAGTTCAATTTTACGACGTCATAATTTTAGCCTCTACTTCAAAATTGCTCATTCATTCACTATGTAACTGCTACCTAAAGATCTTCTCTACATTACAACGGTTCACTTTCTTTCTGCCCATTCAAAATTATGTGTTCAGAAGGATATCCCATTAACCCTTGCCTTCAAAACAGTCACAGCTTGGTTGTAGACCAATCCACTAACGCAGCGCTGTAAAGTCTAGCAGACAGGTGGAAAAACGATTGGAAAATGCTTGTGCATTGTGTTATGTTCCTTAAATCTACATGATCTACATCAAGACTATTTTTTTGTGTTTCAGCTTGAAAACATTTTCATGATAAAATTGACGTCTATACATAGAAAAATTCCGCCGCTCGGAGGGAATGAGTTCATTTTTTTTTCGCCTTATCTCGGTTCGATCTATTTAAAAAAAAAAGTCATAAGAAAACAGATGCTGAACTCATTAACACCAATTATGGCACTTTTATTAATATATGTATATTTATGCAACCATTTCCACTTCGCGTTCAAACTTTGGAACATTCGTCCTTTTTTATAGCAGTTCAATTTACAAGACCACTCTGCAAGTGAATCACCACAAAAAAAGAAGAGATTTCATGGAAGAAAGCGACGCGCACGAAAGAAATTCCGTGATGAAAAACGATCTCAAAATAAACGTCAATGGTCGATTCTGCTGTCACGCGCGAATATGACACGAACAAATCTCGTTTCTTATGAAAGAAAAACAGTTCTATATGACCTGGTTCCGAACATCGATGTGTATATGGGCTACACGAGTAGCGAACGATATCACGATGACCATGAGCAAGAGCTATTGTACAAACACAGACACATCGCATATACAACCCTCTCAATATTATCGATTCACAAAGGAAAACTATTGAAACGATCAAAGAGAAAAGGTGTTTGTAAAAAAAGACCCGATCCCGATAATTTGTTCCACCAACCCCCACTGAAACTTAATGTGGTCTCAACTGTAATGAGAAAAATCGATCACGACATAGCGAATGAACTGCTGCTCTGGAGGAAATAACAAGAAAGGTATCCAAAAATACACGAAGAACTACAACACATTTCTATTGGAAATCTATGGGAAACGCACCCCTCTGCATAAAAGACTAATACGAATGCTGAAACTAGCCTGAAGCTTCTTTTGCGATTCGTAATCAACAGTTTAAAAGTGCAGACTAGAGAAATACTCGGGAAGAGGAACCATGCAAGAGACTCCAGATAGAAGGAGTTCCGGCGGATAGTGAAAGATTTCCATCAAGCCAAGGGAACGAGCATCGAAGACAAACAGTAGACTGAGAGAGCTCAAAGATAAATGGTTTATAATGGTACGCGCATTGTTTGACATTTGCGCGTGGAAGGCGCTCAGAGCGTTGTCATCCTCCCGACGGGCAAATGAATGAGCGATTAGCAAAAAAGTGTGTAAACCAGGTCGATTAAGGAAGCCGCTCTTCGTTGCCCTCATCTTCCCTGACATCCAGACGCAAATTACCATCCTTTTCCTTCCGTCACCTCTTCTCTTAACAACTACCGCCCCAAACTCGCACGTTTGCGCAAGTCGCACTTTACCCAAGAAACAATTCACCTCATTCGTCGCTCATCGAAAAAGGACAAGTGAACTCACAGTTTAACGTCACACGTCGACTGTTACGAAACAGAAACATATCAGACACACCTTATATGAACCCAAACTCACAACCAAAAATTTCCTATTTTAAGGAAACCTTAGATTCGTCAGACAAGGGGATTTCCGCAGACTTTCCGAATAAATATTTTGGATAGGAATTCATAACACCGAGAAAGCGTTAGTTCATTCATGATCGAGTTGTCCTACTTCATAAAACTGAAGCAGTCGAATTCAGTAAGGTGTTGTTCTGAAAGTAATTTCGAGTGCTGAATAACGCCGGAAAAAAACCTTGGCTGCCACAAATTAAATGGAAAAAGACTAGTAACAATCAAACCGCATCTTCTTTTGAATTTCCCGTCTCTGTTAAGAGTAGAGCTCTCGGCAGTAAGTGCATTGATCTATGCATCCGCGCAATATCCATTCCAAAGTTATTTTGTAGTTGAAGAAGGAAACAAGAGGAAACAAATAGAGCCTCTTGAAGTTATCCAACCACTTATGAGGATCGCGGGGCACCGAACTTTCTCTGAGCGTGCTTTTAATTGTTTCTTGGCCGATATAATAACTTGGATAGGAACTGATTAACTAAAGGTTTTTTTACCTAGTCTTCACTGATGGACCGGTCTAGTGAAAAGTGGTCTCGGGCAGGAAAGCCACTTGGTTCTCTTCATCCCAGTATGGCAATATATTGTCACTTGGAAAATATAAAAAAAGGAAATCACGAAATCTACAATCGAGCAGGGTCGCTAAGGACAACGTTGCTTGAAGAGAAGTGCAAAAACCACAACCTCAATAACGCTGGCGGCGCCTTGACCTAGTGCCAGGCATATACGGCGCTGCGGAATGGCTGAATTCGAAGTCGTAAAACAGCATGACGAACACCTCCTAACATTCCACTCATATTTGGGAACAAGAGCTGTATACAGCAGAAGTGTCTTACTACTGATGAACAGATATGCCATGTGTTCTTGAAACCCAGAAGACTATCGAAAACAGAAACTAAAATTGGTCTCAAGATGACGAGCTCTTTCTTTTTTACACAAAAGTTTGCAGTCGGAGCCGAAGAAATATGCTTACATCAGATTAATTCCATGCGCTCCCTCCGCAAACCAGATGAGGCTTCGAATGGGGCAAGAAGCGCTTCCAATGAATACTAGACGCAAGAGGAAAATCTACTTGAAACCTATCTCGAACGCGTAATAGATTTTCACCAGAAAGAAGTATGTGTTGATAAACGGAATTATCATCGTATATCGCGTGATTGTTCTTCGATAACTGCCTAATACATATGTGAAAAGTACCGAAAGAGACGCAGAAAATATCTTTTCCATGGACATTTATGTCCGTAACAGCGCGCGGAAGCAACGATCGAAGCATGAATTGAAATCATCAATGGGAGCAACGACTGACAATGTTAATGTTTGTCAGTGTTAAGGCAGCTTCACAGATAAGCCGAGGTAAGAGAACAGCACATCACACAATGTTGTTCTCAATCATAGCACGTACACAGCAATTTGTCCAGTGAAAGATACTTGTAAGACACTTATGATTTACACAAGCATGACACTGAACTGTAGAAGATTGATCGAGTTGAGTGAGTAGTTTTCGGTTTCCGTAAAAAGTGATCAGTGAACTCAGCCACCGCACGTGAGACTCTTTTAAATGATAGAAGTGACAAGGATGAAACACCACGAATAAATCGGGGAGACTCTCGTTCGTATAAGATCCCAGCTATGATTAGAGTTTTAATGACTAAAAGCATTTCTTTCGAAGCTGTTTCGAATGACTAGACGCATTTGTAGGGGTACCCGCTCTAAAGTCTTGATTCGGAACACATACGCAGGTCACCTGGTCCTTAGACTGCATGAGCACACCAGTCTCGTCGATACTGTAAAATTGAGCCTAATTTCACTTCGGACGTCTTCTTCTCTCATCTTCCAGTACGTGGGCAATGTCTTGTCACCATTTCCGAAAATTTCAAGCAACTGATCGATCTTTTAAAGAAAATATCGAAGTGTGATTCAAAGAAAAGAGGTAAAACATGTTGCAGTCAAAAATAGATCTTCACCGTCTTTAGATTTTGCGCAGATAACAGGGATCTACATTTCGGCTGCGATAATGACTACCTAGCTCACTAGGTCGAAGTATTGTTCTGGCCAAATAAGGAAATAATGAAATAGAGTTATCAAATACACCATAACTTGAGTAATTGCGGCTTCCGTTTAACGTCCTGGTGGGAGATTGCGCCAACACCTCATTGCAGTGAACCGACCACCGACGCTAACAAATCCTTTTCAAATCAACAACGATTCCGAAATGATAAGGAAGGGAATGGATAAGTTCAGAAGCAGTTGCCAAGGCAAAGAGTTAGGGTTCTTGCTGATGAGTGCTATTACAACAAGGTTGTGCCGGCAAGACCTCTAGCTGCCGAAAAAAGTCCACGCGTACGACAGGAAAGGATGAAAAATTTACAAATTAGTGGATTATTAGTTCCATTTCTGAACATGAGCCAGTCGGGAACGCATGATGGACCTAACTTGTGTGAAATTGAACCAGCACCCGGTCAATTTAAGGCATATGAAAACGGACCTGAGTGTCTCATCACAATTTGATGACTCAGTCGTGCAATTGCAACAATTGTAACAATACGGCTTTAGGGCGACAACAAAAAAAATTAATACTATCTGGGTCACTTAAGAGACAATTTTGCACATTGACAGTTGCAAATTACATGTGATGACACACAGCCTCGATTATCGAAGACTATTCAAAATTTTCAGAGTAGAGTTTGGTTTGGTGAATAAATGCTAGAGAAAGGCTGAAAAGTGATTGAAAAGTATACAAGAGTGATTGGAAGGAATATAAAACACTTTTCCTTTGCATCTTATGGACTCTTTCTTTGGGAGCTAGCTGTGTCGATGAAATATTTTTCGATCTATTTACATTTTTCTTACATTTCCTTTAAATTCTTCACACATCACACACCCTTATTTCTTCCAAGTCCTGCGATGTGATATAATCAGAATGAACTCAGCATTGCAGATTAGGAAAAAGATGATATTACTAGGTTATGTTCATTGATTTAGGAACCGTGAACGTTTGTAAAGCAGTTGCACGAAAGATACAAACGATCGAAGCTGGTAGAAGGGGACATCGTAAGCTATGGGTGCATAATCGTAAGCTATGGGTGCATAGATTTTGAAAAAATGGAACTTTTTTACCAGGTTGGAACGTTTCCCGACAGAATCAATGTTTCTTAATTTTGTTTCGCAGTCTTGATGTAAGAATGAACACTCCTCCTCACTAAATTGATATTTAAATTTCTAACTTCTGAGCGGGAATTGAATCGAATACTCTCGAAAACTGTAATTGAAACTTGAATTAATTTGAAAGATTTGCTGAATAACTTCGACGGGGGCGTTTAGAGAGGCAGAGGCATAAAAATATTAGGAAAAGGACTGAGCACGATTATATTCCCAGGGTGGGGTCAGTAAACGGATAAATTTCAACCCCTTTCGCAACCAATTCGGATAGTTAGGATGTTGATAAGAGATTTTTTGAATGTTACGGCAGTTTCTTCATAACACACTGTACACAACTACTGCTGTAACATTGAAAAACGTCAAAACAACATCAGTTTTCCTGAGAAAAATTCATCATATCGTTATCTCAAAAAGGGTCTAGTATAGGCAATCACATAGTAACCGACGGGAATGTTTTCCGAACCTTAGAAAACAGAACATTGCCGATTTGCAGAAAAACCATGACGCAGAGACAGGTATTGGGGGACGTTGTAATAAGGAAAGAAACAAAAACTTGATCGAATGTCAGCATCAGAAAAGTTCGACTTGCATAATGTATGTGATGAACTGCGACCGCCAATACAAAGATGAAACAAGTTGATTGACGGGGCTCTCACAATGTAATATTATATATTCTCTAATGAACATTACAGGAACTACCTTGGCCTTCTGCTCATTACGTTGTAATCAACATAGAGCTATTCAGTCACAATCAAGCACTCTCTGAGACAGGAAGGATGGATACCCCTAGCGATGCAATTCACAACATACTGAACAAGCAAATCACTACCAACCAAAGTCCATCGAAAAATTTGCCCGTTCATGCACAGAAAAAGCGTCAGCCTGTCGGTATGACGCATGCGACGTTACACTGGCGCGTTTCAAGTTGACCGCGACAAATTACCTGAACCGAAGAGTTTGCATGGCTCCACATTGATTGGCAGTGGTCTCGCCCTTTCCGTTTTCTCATTTGATATTCTTTGAAATGTTCCGAAATCGTCACAGATTCTACGCAACACTGAGTGGTGCCAATCACAATCTCTTCCTCAATCACTCGTTCTTTTACTACACTTTTGTAAAGTCGTTTCGTTCCTCAGCTATTGCCTGAACTGTTAAATGATCCATATTCTATGCTGTTTGAACTCCTCAGCTGGAAAGCTCGGTCAATTATGAGTTCTGTTGATTGATATCTTTTGAAGGCCTAACAGTATAAATTAGTGATTCGACAAACTCACCGTCAGAGCAACATGAAAGGCTGGGAGTAAGGGCCTGCCCAACTAACCAATCTTTGCGACACTCAGAGGCCTTCGACACTAAATGGCTCGTCACATGAAAGCTTGCAGCGTAGTTTCACTAGAACTACGACGTCAGTTTTTAACTGTTGAAGTTTCCAAGCTTCTGAAGTGTGTTTTAAGAACTTCTTTGACAAGGAAGTCCTATAATTGGGAAGTGTGTGCTCATGCATAATTGAACCTACCCCTCATAAAATCTTCCCCTTCGTGAATCTAACCTCACCATAACCTTGAACGGCTGTCACTCACAAATCATATCCCTACCTTACGCTTTCGGTAGGACCCCATTCTACTTTTTTGTTCACTGCAGTGGTTTATTGTGCACGGAGACGTATAACGTGAAGGAGCATAGTGAATGTTATTGGTAGTGTATGATGCATAATGATTGTTTGTCGATTCCGATAATCCGGGTATGACTTGTGTAAAACTTAGAAAAAGCGGTGTTTGGACTTGAAAAATGGCACTCAGTACGATCGATCTGGTTTTGCAGGAATCTGCGATAAGAAAACGAGTGTAGGGAGAAGGTATGATTCATCGCAGTTTAGCTAGAGCAACCCTGCTGAGTTTTCGAATTGCTGATGCTTTTGTAAAAGTATTTCTCTGCATATTAGCTTTCTAATGACTCCTGAGTAATTAACTCGACTCCTAGTTTCTCAACGAACGGTATATTCACACAGTTTTGTATTACAAGCCTTCCGTTCTTTTTTTTTGTTCTCATCTGTGCGCTGCAGAGGGGCGAATCGAAGTAGCTGTTGTATCGAGTCTGATTCCTGTTTCTTCTTCCTTACAATAGCGGGATTCAAGTTATTTTGTATTCGATTAAACAATTCTTTGCAAAAATACTAAATGATTTTGGACAAAATTAGATTTATTGCTGGTAGTAGTCGTAAATTTGCTAAGAGCCATATGTATAGGGTATAGTGGTCAATTTTACTCTACAATTCCTTTTTTTTTTCGAATTGTCAGTCGCAGAAACTTTGGAAATGTTTTTTCATTAGTTTTTTTACGGAACTCAAGTACTTCGGAAAGATTCTAGAGTACATAATGGACGTTCCATCGACCTCGGCATCGACACCGCAATCTGAATTGCCACCGTCGGCTCAAAACGAAGATATGAAGAAGATGGTGCAGGGATTGAAAGATCTTATGTCGTCACGACGACCGCCTGTTAGCCGAGATGTCCTCAAGATTAAAATGGAATATCTCGGCGAAAAGCGGTGTATCGAGATGGGCCGCCCTGTGTCGATGAAAGCGTTAGAAGATCACCTACAACGGCGATACGGTAAAGCTATCAATATGTACTATCAGCAAGGGAAAGGTGAAGTTGTGGTGTCCATAAGGAATCAAGACGAGCTGGACAGAGCCATTCAGGTAATGATTCCGTTTTCATCATTTTTGTGCAGAAATAATTGTATTTGGAGCTGTTGGTCGTGGAAATGAGCAATTGCAGCGCCCTCGCTGAGTGGTGACACGTTTGCAAAGTACTTACATTTTTCCCTCACTATATGCTTTCAAAACCGTCACAGCACGGACAGCTGATAGTACCAATTTTGAATTCTATCTTTTTATGTGGTGGATCGTACGGGCCAGCGATGCCTCCGATTACTGCTCTCTAAACACCAGCAGTTGTCGACAGGGATAACGGAATCTCGTCCTGATCCTTCAGGAACCTACACAGGCAGCATAGTTGAAGTACGTTTATATCCCGTTTTTCTATGCGATTAGCAGTGGCAGAGACGATCACGCTGTTAATCCTTGACCCGACTTGTGCCGGAGCGGAGTTCATTACTCAACATTTAGGTTCCCTACTCCTTAAATTGTTCATCGTGCGGTGCGAGTCGAGTATCATTCGCCAAGAGTGCTGGTGACTCTTCTTGTTCCAGCGGTGTGCAGTGGGACATTGATGAGAGAAAGCTTAGCGCGCAGTCACCTCGAGCTCCGACTCACTGGAAGGAGGCAAAGTTTGTTCGTACGAAGATTTTCACTTATTCATCGCCCTATCATTTCGTTAAGTGTTTCAAAAATACCCCTTCGATAAGTTTTTTCTTTCTCACAAAATAATTTTGTTTTCAGATGCATTGGCAGTGGAGCATTCGGTAGTGTATACCTTGCCTATGATGTGGACACTGGGAGGGACCTAGCTGTTAAGAAGATTCCAATTATTCCTGACAACAGAGAACTGAGTCGTGAAGCGCAGGGGCTGGAATTTGATGTGCAAGAACTTGGTAGGTGGTAACAAACACTCGCAAATATCGCCCCTTACTATGCAGGAAGTTAAACCTGACTGTGGTACGAATACAGCCATGGGATTGCTATAATGCTTCGAGAGGTTTCCTATGCATCAACGCAATTGCGTTGTACTGCAATACTAATAGGTTGGCAAATAAGTCCTGCGATAAAATGGAGACCTTTTTTAAATCATTTCTAAATTTTTTCATATCAATCAATTTTCGGAAAAATATTTACTAAAGAAGTCAACAACCTTCTTTTATCCTTTGAGCCAATCACTGATGCCATCTTTTCAGGAGTGAGGGGAGCTGTGACTCAAAGAAGTGATTGACTACCGTTTTTGGATCCAATTAAGTTACGAATTTCTTTCCCACAACGGGATGCTCAAAAAGGGAGCGCACATGGTAGGTAAAAGGAGGAACACTTCGGGAGTAGGACTGATGAGTAATCTGGAACTAATCGGGATCGGTGAACTTTTGACGTGGGTCCAAAGCGAATTTTCGACGTGAGTTGTCCCTCTGTAGGGGCCTGATTTACGGTTTGATCGCCCTTCTCTAACCCCGTTGGCCAAATGATGCTTGCGGTACCCCTAGAGCTGGTATCTCCTGCAGTGAAGCGATCCAACCGATTGTTGACCGTCGATCGGTGAGCAGTGCTAGCATCGAATAGATTGCTGATGTTTCGAGCCGCTACACCCGCGTTTTTTCCTTGGCGTGCTTAGTAGAAGGTGATGGTACAAATCGGGTGTTGTCAATTCATTGACCGTAATACTCTGAAAGCCCACACGCGCGCCCTTATTTACTTATGTTTTAATTGCCTGAGGAATTTCCTACAAGTCTATCACCCTTGCTACCGTGTTCAAATTGTTGATACAAATTTTCAACGCTTCAAATTTTTTGTCGCAGGACTTATTTGCCAACCTAATATTTTGCTGCTCTTTAAGCTACATCTAAGAGGTTCTCGTTGCGAGAATGATATTTTCCAATCAAACTGCTTACATGATTTAGGACGACTTCAGCACCCAAGGATAGTTCAGTACCTTGGAGTGCAGAAAACTAGCGACAGAATTCTGATATTCATGGAATATATGACGGGTGGTTCACTCAAAGAACACATTGCTCTCGTAGGAAGCCTGTCCGACGCTGTGGCAAAAAGGCATACTGCGCAGGTGCTTTGCCTTTTGTTATTAAATCAGTAATAGTAAATGTGAGGAGCATAGGGTTAATTTTAATAGTACATGGTTTGAAGATGTGCGTACCAAGCGTCAAACTAAAAAAGTTCAGGTATTGGAAGGTCTGGCTTTTCTCCACAAGAACCACATTATTCATCGTGATATAAAATCCGCAAATATTTTACGAGACTCAATGGGTAACGTGAAGATCGCCGACTTTGGCTCAGGAAAGAAGATGCAAAGCTTAGCTAGTCAGCAAGGAGCCTTTCACAGCACAATTCACTACACTGCGCCAGAGGTGCGTAAAATTACGATATAGGGTTGATCTTTATGTTTGCTTATGGAATGGTCGCGTATCAACTTCATCCGTTGGAGATAGTTGTTTCCTACAGGTTCTGTTGGGGAAAACGGCCTACGGCAGAAAAGCTGATGTTTGGAGTGTAGGCGTGACACTGGTTGAAATGCTCACTGGACAAGTCCCTTGGAAAGAATTCGAACCCATGGCAGCCATGTTTCAGATCGCTTACGAGGAACCTCGCATTGATGTGAGTCTAAAATTTTCAGCCAGTGTTTCAGTAGATTCGTTCGAAACGCTAGAGAACTAGATATAATTGAATGGGTATTGAATAAACGTATAAATCTAGTTCGGAAGCAAAAGCCCTCCTTTAGTTGCCACCGACCGTACAACCGGTGATGGCCGATTTGTGCAAAGTACTGATGAACAAAAACTTCGAGGAAAGACCAATGGCTGCCGAAGTTTTGCTTAACCATCCAGCTTTTAAATCGCAACCGTAAATGATGTACGTTTTGCTATAGAAGGTACTATTCGGATAGTTCTTTTTAGAAGTCATTCAACAACAACTCTAAGTGTTTGCTGATTTACAAACAAATAAACAAGCATTCATTGATACAATCATCCGGTTGAGTTCATGATATCTTTTTTCTCACGAAATCTTTTTTCTCCTAACGCTGCTGTTAGTTTCTTAATTTTCTCTCAACAATATTGCCGTTAGTTTCCTAAAATGTGATCGTTTCTCAACTTTTCTAGTCGTTTTGTGAATACTATTTATCACTTCTATCTTTAGCTTTCTGATTTATTCAACGGGTACTCAGAGTATGAATGTGTGAACTTCATAGTAAGTCTACAACTAGGAACAGTTCATTAGCTTATTCAATGTAGGCTTCTGATTTGGTGCCTAGGTGAATTGTAACATCCTATTGAATTTCTTAGTTTACTCAGTTTTCTACTTCACTTGATACTTATTGCACTTGTTACTTATAACTGTGATTTTGCTCAGATTGTCCTAGTCATATCATTGAGTTTGCCATTTCGAATGAATTTTCAAAAAAAAAAAATTTAGGCTCTTATTGGCTACGGTGCTCAACCATCAAATATTGCTTTTATAAATTGCTGAGTTGGATAACAATGAAAGGATTTGATTGCATTTCATTTTACGAAAATTATTTTTGCAATAGAAGTGGCCGAAGTCGAAAAGAGATTATGCTCGCTAGCATGGGTGTCTGAACTATAAGGTTTTTTGGCCCTTTCCTAAATGTCAAGATGTATATGTCCATGTGTAGTGAGAGCAGTAACCAGTAACTGTTAAATCCCATCCTCACAAGGTCAAGGCATAAGGTAGGGCTTTCGTTCGTACAACCATTGATACGGTCCACCTTATTGAGTTATTCAAGTCACTTCCCAGAATAAGTAGGTTTGTTTTGTCTCCGGATTTCTCCTTAATTTTCTAGAGCTTAATATCACCAATACTTTGCCGCCGATGCTTTCATTTCCTTTATATTTTACTGTATCTTGACTCTTTCACCTTTTGAAATGATCATTATGTTCAGATAAAATGGAAATGCTTGATACTCTGAGAGAAACGATAGTAACTGTACAAAATGAAATAACATCAGGGTATGTTTCTTAGTTACAGGTCTGCTATGGGTAGCTTATCGAAAACTGATTGTAGATATGACTGGTAGACATGATCTTTTTGGCTTTAAAAACAATATTACTTCTAGCGTGGAACGACTTCGCTTCAACGTTTCTCCCTCGCTAGCAGCGCAACAAAGGTGAGCATTGCTCTTGTTCACTTTGTTCATGACTTTTTCCAAATGGTTCGTTATTTTCGAAAGAAGATATAGGGCTACGAATTTCATCAAAATAAAATGAAATAAGAAAATTTTTCTCTTGTAGGTTAGCTCTGCTAAGAATGCGTATCGGATGAGTGGCTCAGGCTCTCTAGAGTTCAACTCATTCGAAGTTTGTTCGTAATGATGAGAAAATGTGATCTGCCAATTATGTATGGGAAAGACTTTACAAACTTAATGTAATAACATAAGAGGCGAGAATTTTACATTTAGTCTAGTCAACTGAAAAGAAGCATAGAAAATTGAGGCTTTCATTATTTCGAGTGACAAGGACGGTACGTACACCGTAGAAATCATAGAGCAAGGAGACGGCAACAGGTTTTCAAGGCAAATTAGCAGTCGGAAAGGGGAAAAATATGAAATGAATGTAAATCAGGGTCACCGTCAGCAAATATCACCGAAAATTAAGTAATTCAACTTTGAAATGAGCTGTATCCGTATGGTCCAGCGCTTACTCTGCGTCTAAACTAAAATCTTTGAGGAAAAATTTAGAGATTATCCATACGGAAGTGCTTATTTCTTCAGAGACCTAATTAAGCATTTCGAAAAATCAGGCCTAAAAATTATCCAGTTCTGATATTGGGCGCCTCTAGATGGAAGCTTTATTGATAGAATACCTTCCTAGGTTGTGATTTCAAAGAATTCGATTTCAGTGTCCAGCGCTCCATAGCATGTGCATTCTCCATATCAGTGGAGTATTAGATTAATGCTTAGCTTACTTAGCTCAATGTTACTGCCAAAACTTTGCAACCCGAATTGCCATAAGCTTCTAATTGGTCCTTTCAAGCAGTTTCGTATGTCCGTTACGAACAGTTTACCCTGTAGTAAAATGCTGTTTGTAGTAGAGGCAGTCTTTAATGCGATTCGATTTATGTGTGCGCAGATTAACATAAACCTTCACAATTTTGGCTCACTGAGTCTATTCTCACTCACTGAGTTGCACAGTATGATACCCGCTTCCAATATAGCATTAGAAATGGAAACGTGAGTTAGACCCTACATTTTACTCGAGTTTATTTAAGCTGTTAATAATAGTGAATGACTGCGAACATCTTCAAATTAGCTCAATTACCTCTACGTGAAAGTGGAAATGGAAGGATGAATTATTTAATGTGTCCGTTCTTTTCACTGTAATTTAGTTCGTCCTTTCACATTACTGTTCCGTTTGCTCAACAAACGGAATAGTAATGTAAAAGGACGAACTAAATTGTCATATTTACAATTTTAAACTTATCGGTGCGCTCACAATAGGCACCCATGACAGAAAGGACCGATAGGAGATTCGGCTAAAACTGGGGTTTTTATAATCGTTTCGTTTTCAGATATGTGACGGAAGCCGTGGATGAAATCGTGAAAACAGCAGCTGGTAGTGATTTACTCCTGAAGTGAGTTATTGAACACAGTTCTAGTCTGAGCTGCCATATTTCCGAAGGTTTTTATAGACACTGTATAAGGAGTAAAACCAGGAGACTAAGCTGACTGACAAACTTTTCTGCTATTGTGGGCTGAGTGGTAGGATAGTTACCGGAACAACAGTACCAGGGGACTTTCACTCAAAGAGCATCGAAACATTCTCTTTGATGAAGTTGCTAGAGGCAAATTATACAGAAGATGATGAAAATATTTAGTGATTAGTAGGGCGAAAATGCTTCTGGAAAACTTTTCCTCAGTCTACAGTAAGCGTAGGCAAGATAGGTCGAGATGCAGTTTACATTGGAAAATGGCGAGGAGCTAGAAATGCCATTCAAGTGTAAAAGGAGGGATAATGGATAGGTAGGCCAATTAAAGCTGCAATTCGGTGAATTAAGCTGGGGCTTCAGAACTTTTTTGATAGATTACTGAAGTAATTCGAGGTATCTACAAAAAGGTAACAATTTCGGATAAACGTGAACGGTGAATGCTGAGTCGGCGATCAATTGCGCTTTGCTTAATCTCTGAAGTTAATCGAGTCGATCGTCACCGTTCATGCATACGAAGCATTGAATTGGAAGAGAAACAGGTTATAAAGGAGATCTCAGACGAAGTGCAAGATCGCTATGATATCGATGCGTCATAGCGTTTTTTTTTTCAAAGGAAATCGAAGGATATTGAGAAATCGGATTTTGATGGGATTGGTGTAGAGGAGAGCCCTTCCGAACGGACAGAAAAGATTAGAGTCGTCTATGATGGTCTAGCCTTTCCTGCGTAGAGCATAACGAGACGTCATTATGTTCATGATGGATATGAACAGATCACAAAACGCGAATTATTCGATAATTCGATCGTTCTGTGCAATTTGTGACTAACGGCTGGAGATTGCAATGTTTGGATCATCAGAGCTATTGAATCCTCTCAGACTTGGTTTCTATCACTAAGCACTACCGTTCTCTAGCAAAACCTTGTCTGTATCCTATAAAAAGGTTGTTACTTTTTGTCTTCCTCGTGTCCTCCTTGTCCTTACCTATTGGACAGGATACGCGGCCCCTAAGAAATATTTTTAAAAAATCCTGACTTCGAGTTCTGTCATCTTGAAATGCAGAAAGTGGAGAATCTGTTGAAAGCGATGATAAACTAACGGCTTCCAGAAGAAGAATGTACATCGATTTAGTTTAGCGGCGGTCGACCAAACGACCGGCTGTTCCTAAAGGCTCTGAATAAGGCGATTACGCCGAAACGTAAGTTGATAAGAACTTATCTAACATCTTGGCAGCAGTTTTTAAAAAAGTCTTATAACATCAATGCAAAGCTATGCCAAGATTCATCGAGAGTCGAACATGGATGCTTAAGAATGTACATCGTTAATTAATGCGTTTACGAGGATAGAATAAAATCTGGTGGAGCCCAGATAACATTAATGAATCAACGATAATGTTAGGAATTTTGGTGTTGTTCGGTCGTACTCTCTTACAACTTGTACTTGCGGTTTCCCAGAATCACATGATCTCATGCGCAGATCTGTGAGCGAGATTTTTGTGAATGATGGAGTGCTGTGGAGCGTCATTGTCTCAGTCACATGGCTGGAATCTAGAAGATTAGGGCGATCTCATGACGTGGATCAGAACATCTTGGAGGTTCATCACGAATGAATTATTTTGCGAATAACTAATTATTGCCCGTTTTTGTTTTAAATTCGTTTATTACTCTTTCTTCTTATGTAAAGGTAAAAATCATTCGGTAAAATCTACCAGAGTTATGCTTAGCTACGTTATGAAAGTTACTGTAATCTTCAGTTGGCTGTTTCAGGGGGGGGGGGATGATGAATAACTACGGAATTATGATCAGAAGGCCTAATCGCTTTCATAAGTCGTGACAGAGGGCACTTCCAATTTTATCGGTGCCTTTCGTCCTTATCTGGTTGTTATTTGCCTCCACCACTATCTGGGAAGAAGAGAGCAGTGGTTTAGTAATGGATGACTTGTACAAGCGAAGAACAAGAATGTATCCGAGTGCCTTCAAGAGTCTGACTTGAAGGCAACGTAGAGAAACTCAAAAAGGCTGTTTGACATAATACAGATGTTCAAGGGAACATGACATTGCATCAGGATTTGAGGATTTGAGCATACTCTGAGAATGGGCTTTTCAGCCGGATGTATGTAGTACATGGCACGAGCTCTAAGAAGTGGAAAGTGGACGATGAAAGATTCTACAACGTCGGTGTTCGTGTTTTAATTACCATGTCGTTGTAGAAAAAGTTGCTTGGTTCCGGATTTGTGACGGACTCCGTATAGCTAGTTAGCTAGCCATCGAACCAGCTTGCCGTCAGGCTGGTCAGTATCATAAATAGCCCAGACGGAGGCTATTCCTAACGCGAATCCATCACCTTAGAAAAGCTTGTTCTGGGCAACATATTCAATGACTCAACGAACCACGATAAAGTATTCTAAGTCATTTTATAATATGGGTAGTGGATTGGAATGGTGAATGAAATGAATCAGGGCAAACGAAGGGCTTAAGCCTAGGAATCTGTTAACGAGTGGTATAATTCGGCTTCGATGCTGCTTTTACTCATAATATCGTAATCCTTTCCCAATGGGGACTTGTGGTATGCAACTCGAGTAATGAGACTCAATAGCCTATGTATAAACGGAGTATTTTTTGGCGTTCCGTGATAACACAGGGGCAATGTACAGTGGATCAAAATTTTAAGGGAATGTGACAGCTGTAGAGTGCTTTGATACCGACATATGTTGAACATTCCATGGTTTTTCAAAAAATCATTCGATCTCATCATAAAAATTGATCTTTCTCGAGGCTTTCACATTTGTTCTTTTGGCGAAATCTCAAACTGCCGAATGGCATACCAAAAAGGAATGCCTTCTTTTTTTCTGAGGAAGGGCATTCATTGAGAAGACACGATCGAGAAATTGAAGAGTTGTTGTCAATTATTCTGTAATCCTTGCTTACTCAATGTCATCGTAGCAGTGTTGTGGGCTATTCCGAAAACTCCTTTCCTTTGGTGATTTTACGGATAGCGCTGCCTCTCTCATGTCTTGGTGTACTGTAATGTATTGCGGATTACGCATTACTTACGCTAGTTTGAGTTTTTGCCGGATCGTAGGATCGTAATGGTAGGCTCGTGGTGTCTCATTTAGATGTGCGCTAGGCGGCGAAATCACCACCTGATTCAGCGCCCTCCGTCACAGAAATGGGACTCAGTAGATGAATGTGTATGGGGACTGCTCGCTTTGAGCTAAAATAGGTTCGGACAGTACTTGTAGAGGATCACTGTAATCTCTTGAGTTCGAAGTTCATAGATTCATTTATTAGTCCCACGAAAAAAGTTCGGACAAATTTGAATGCTACCGTGCCTTGTCACAGTCGTGTTTCATTCTGACCGATAGACACGATTTTTCTCTTCGACAAAGAAAATGTTCTTTCGCGCTTGTTCTGGCAGATGTTTGTCTAGTGAGAGATGGTGCGAGAAACACGTGGAAGTCCCCTTTCTGGTTCCGCGTTCGCAGGTTTCACCTTCTTGTATCTTGATCACACACCACATGTTAAATGCATCGTTCACTGTAGTATAGGTAGCGAAAGAGGGAAAAAGGGGAAAGGGACGATGGGAATGGCCGAAATCAATTCGTATTGGCAGCAGTCCTATGTTCCTGACCCTTGTAGAAGTAGTGTACCATTTGCAGCGCATAGGACTGGCACTCGAATCCATGAAGTTTCGAATGCCTAAAATTTCCATAAAAAAATCCAAAAGAATATCGGAGTGGTTGATTTCAAAACCGACTTCAATTCCCAGAAGTTGTAGGTATTTTTTTATTTAAATAGTCAAATATATCGAGAAGTAAGAGAGTAATTTAGCATTCTAGTGATGTGCCATCAAAAAACGTGGTGGCCATTCCACAGATCTCCAAAAGTGTTTTTAATTTTTACTTTCTTTCTGAGCTATTGATTCGCGCGCTCTGTAGGGTTATTTCTTTGCGTGAACTCAGTACATTCCATTCAGCGCCCTTTTGACTGGGCCAGTTCTTGCGCACCTCAAAAACTTTTGGCGTAGATGCGGGAGGCGCCTTAGAACTTCCTATTTTTGGATCCAAAACTTGAAGCCTAATCGTACAATACGATATAGTAGCCTTTCTATTCTCATAAGAGGCATAGTGGAATTCACACCCGATTTTACGGTAGTGTTTTTGGACATTGGCTGATTTCTTTTCGGGCAATTGGTTTTGATGGATGTTTCCTCGGTGAACTTTTTGCACTTCAATCACCCTTTTGACCGAGCACATTCATACCCTTCATAAAAACCGTTGCAGAGGGGCAAGAGATACCTCATAAATTCCTATATTTGGATCCGAAACTCCAAAGCCTATCCATAGGATGCAAACCTTCCTATTTTGTTATAATTTATTTGGCTATTACGAAGTCATTTCTCCGTGATGACCAAATAGAACTATCCCGGGGTTGGCTCTCTATTTGCCGCCGCCTACTCCCGTTCCTTAATGTTGCGGATTCCTCTGTTCAAAGGATAATAGATTTTCATTAAAAAAAGAAAAGGAATAAAGCTGTTTTTGCTTTAAAGTATAGCAAGTATTTTAAGTTTGGAATGGTGCCTGTGTGCTGTGCCAGCAGGAGCATAGCTCATTAGTATAATATCATCGGTGTAGTTTAGGATTTGATAATTAGCGGCAAAAGCATGTGTTAAACACTAAACACTGCCCTTTGAGGGCTTGCGCTTTACCAAGCGGGTTTTTTCGAGCGCTGACACTTTTCAAGTGTAATAAAGCCGAAGGTATGTGTCAAACAGCAAGGACATTGAAGCAGCAAGGGTATCCGTAATAGATAGCAATGAGGGACCATTAAACATTATTGATTCTGCTGAGTCCTGGTGAAGAGAAAATTGAGAGTGAAACTGTTCCTTCTTGAGGAAATGAGAAATAAGGAAATATTGAGATTTATCCCAGAAGTAAACAAAGCAAGGATATGATGAATGTTCGGGAAAAAAACGATCGATACTGGGAGGAATGATTCGCGGCTGTGGAAAGGAGTTCAAAATAACCGGGGAAAGATCATTCCCCGATTGAAACAAGGCCAGACATGCAATCAGCTTGTGGGCGGAGCGCTATCGGCAAAGGAAGCGAACTGCTTTGGCACTGCGAAGGTGGCGACGATCTAAGAAACGCTTAGATCGGATACGATCACCATGTACTCCCGAAGAACACGTTTTGAGGGTAGTCGTTCACGTTCCTCTCCAAATTACGCTGGACTAGATTTGTCGGATTTAGAAGTTAGTGTTCAAGTGTTGTAAAAAAAACCAGTGATATATTGAGACTTTTCCAAAACGCGCAAACTTCAGAAAGCACAAGTCCCGCCCACTGTTGGAATACGAAGCACGAGGTCAGGAGAAAGACTTAGTTTTTAGTATTGTTCATTTTCTTTTGGACGACCCCATCAGGAATCGTAGTGGCTCTGAATGTGTAACCTATACAATGAATTGCTGGGACCAATCGATCATGTCTTGGGGGTCCAAAGGAATCAGGAGCGGATAGGGATAGGGGAAGCCCGTGAAATTGGAGATGTCCGAGTTGGGCTGGGTTCGGGTTGATACAGTGACTGGAAAATTAGCAGAAGTCGGGAAGTTTTCAATTAAGTTCCAAAGTGTGCGTTCCCGATGTTTATTATGAGTTCATTCCGAACCATCAAATTATGTGTATGTTCTAGCTTAGATATTTGCTTTTTTATAGTAACTTGTTTTATCTTTTTTTTTTGGAACGTTTTTGTTATACCAGGTTGGACTAGGGTTACTTAATCGCTGTTAGGGGAACCAAAGTGCTCATTGGCATGAATGAGGTTTCTAATCATAAATATAAGTATATATAAATTTTGCAGGACTGGACGCTCTTCCAGTTCCTGTGTCTTCCCAAAGTTTTGGAGATCAAATGCTCGTTGTCTGATTTTGCTAATTGACATTTTAGTCGTGTACTTGTCCTCTGAATTGCTGGAGTCTAGAAGTCCTTTGGAGTGTCCTCAAGATAGGCTGCACTACCGGTTTGGTAATTAAGCTCTCATAACCGCTAAAGCAATATATCTCGCTGCATGTCACGAACTTCGAATAAAAACCCCGAATATCATTGCCAATTGCAATAAATTTCCCCTCACATACGATTAATCGCCTCCGCTCTGCTAAAGGATAATGCCCGATCCTAGTTTCGAGGAGAAAATGCTAACTCACTGGAGTAGCTTCTAACGGCAAGTATGCGCTCCCACATTAGCCTAACGGTTTTGGAATGGAAATCAATTTCAATCGGTCCTCTAGCAGGACCATATTACCACTTTTTTGCGGTTGGAAGCATAAATTGAGGCTATTTTTCTGTACAAGGACAACAGACTTCCAGAGTCAGTACATTAGAAGTCTCGAGGAAGCGATAAAATTAGATAATGGGCAAGAACTTATAATATATGCCCCGAACTACGAAAAGTTAATAACCTGGTATGGTAGACTAGGTATAAGACCAGCTTTTTATGTTTGTTGAAATGGCAACTGAAATATTTCTTTTCAAGGCCCGAATACATGCTCTCGTTGGACTCGTGAGACAGTGCTCATCATGCAGGATTTCTCATAGGTTCATACGAGAGATGTGTTTGGTTATAATCGTTTAGACACTTTCTTACTTGGAGTGTCTTGTGTTGGGTAGAACAGAGGGCTTTCTTTATCTTCTGAATACATTTTACTAGGATTTTTCTTTTACTGTATGGTTGTGCGATGTTCAGATTTCAATTATCGCTGGACCAGATGCGAATGGTGGCCGATGAAGGGGTCCGTCTGGCGAATCTTTGCAGTACCAGGATGGGTCGAGCACAGCAGGTTTTCTCTGGAGATATTTGAAGAGCCATATGCTTTGCCGGCAGCGATTTTTGTTACTTTCAGTCTGGTATTTTTAATGATGAACTTTGCAGATGTGTAAAGAGCGAGCAGACGCCGTGATGGCTATAGATTCGTTCCTGAGAAACACCGCTGATATGGATCGAAAGATCAAAGATCTCAATAAACAGGTTAGGAATTCCATAGGTTAGATCATAAAGGGGTCTCTTACGTATAATAGTGTTATTAAAGTTTACAATTAGGCCACACTGATACTGAGCCGTTTGACACACTTTCTAAGGGTGGCTATGTTGGGTAGCACGACTGTCAATAATTTGATAACTGTTGAGCTTGCCATCGAATTCGCAGTAAAGAAACATTTCTCATCTAGTTGCTGATTGTGTAAATTGCTCATTCGTAGTACAGGGTCCACGATGAAACAAACTAAAGTTTAAATGGTTAAGTAGTTGTTCGAATGCTTTGTGATACACTTGCTGCTGAAGGTTGACAAACTTGTGCGATTCTGTAACCAAACGGAGCAAGCAATGACACATTTGGAAGCCTTGGCGACGGTGGTTAGAACGGAAGAAGAGGCGAGTTTGAATTTCCTTCTTTAATGTTGATTTCCATTCCGATATTAGGGATGACATACGACATATTCTCCTAATTCAATTTGGAATAGTTAAAGGCACAGTTCACGATAATTTTGGGTAATCCAGATTATGATGAAAAATGGAAGACAAGATCGAAACTAGTGCGACTGAGGTGAAGAAACTGCGTGCATAGGTGTTTCCAAAATGAAAAAAAGCTTCAAAAAACCGTTAAAAAGGGGGTTCACGAGAATGAAACCAGAAAAATGAAGGGTCCGGGAACTTCTCCCCTAACACGGCGTCGCGCACGCCGCACTCGCCGCGTATCGCAGGATTGCGACGGAAGATTGGAGCGCGCAATTTGTGAGGTAGGGAGTCCTTTAATTATTTGAGTTGGCTGGCCGCTCTTTTCAATTCTAATGCGGTCTTGATCGTCGTTTATGTAGGAGGAGTCATTTTAATTAATCAAGTCTAATAAACATGAAAACTAAAAAGAAACAGAAGAAAAAACGATAAAATCCAATGAAAAAGCAAGCCAGTCAAGGAAATTTATCGCGTCCTATCGATTGGCGGGAGGCGGGGTGAGTACGGTAATTGCAGTGACGTTTGCCGCATGCCGCAAGGGAGAATGCCGCGATAGGGGAGAAGTACCGTTACCCGAAAAATGAAGAAGAGTGGGGCGTCCGGACGAGCTAAACAGTGGCAGNTGCGGTCTTGATCGTCGTTTATGTAGGAGGAGTCATTTTAATTAATCAAGTCTAATAAACATGAAAACTAAAAAGAAACAGAAGAAAAAACGATAAAATCCAATGAAAAAGCAAGCCAGTCAAGGAAATTTATCGCGTCCTATCGATTGGCGGGAGGCGGGGTGAGTACGGTAATTGCAGTGACGTTTGCCGCATGCCGCAAGGGAGAATGCCGCGATAGGGGAGAAGTTCCGTTACCCGAAAAATGAAGAAGAGTGGGGCGTCCGGACGAGCTAAACAGTGGCAGCAAAAAGAAAAACAGAGGAAAAAAAGAATGGGAGAAAACATTGCCTCATCGCTCGGCGATTAACTGATTGTGCGTGGGTCCTAGAACGAATAATAGCAATCTGTATTGTCTCGACACTCGTCTAACGTGATACCGATCGAGGGGCGGGAAAGCGAACTAAGGCAGCAACGGGGCTTCCACTATGCCCTGAGCGCCGAGATTGTTGGAGCGAGAGGGTCCCTCCTACCACCCATGGGGGGCGCTGAGTATTCCTGAAGGAAGAGCTCAGTAACCTTTTTTATGGTGAACCGTGCCTTTAAGCAGTAGGAGCTATGCTTATTTTGGATAAACGAAATTGAATGAAAATGGAAGGAACTCTCATGTTTTTTATTCCTGCTCCTGTTTTCCTTCGTGTTCTACACAAAAAATTACATTCGAGCTGTAAGGTAGTAGGTGTTGAAGAAGGCACTCATAAGTAGAGGTCTTGGGTATAGAGAAGACTATCCGAACCATTCCACTTCCTAAGCGTGAGCCTCACCCTTCTCACATATTTTCTTTGAGCATCATGATACATTTCATGTCGAAACCTTTGAATGCAGCTGAGATAGATGCATAGGTGCGAATGCGCCTTTACAATAGCGGTTTGATCAAAGCATTCCCTTGGGCTTTTGCTTACTTTGCCGATCTGAAAGATACAATCAGTAGTTCATCAGTGCTTGGTTTCCTCCCACTGAACCTCTTATTTTCTAGTTTTCTTGCTTGAAATAACCTTCTATCATTGCAGTGAGTGGAGGTGGAAGAATAGTTTGGTGGTTGTCAACATACTTGTAATTATACAGTTGGTTCTCAATACGGCCAGCCAAATCTGTTGCTGGCTTTTCTACAGAATGGTAGTATTTCGTCCAATGTCGCTTAACAATGTCCAAATAAGGGTTGGGTACATTGGTGCTTATTCTCATTCATCAAGAAAATTAACCTGTTTCGAGGGATTCGATAGTCTAGGTCAACTAGGTGTTTCCTTCCTTCCTCTTCATCAAACGAACGGAAGTATGTATGCCAATGCTGTCGGAAATTTCAGGTCGATTTGATAAGGCAACAAACCCGTTCAGTATCAAGCATAATCAACATAGAGCCGAGCGCAGCTCTAGTACTCAATAGTAAGTGGTAGCTGTAAAGTTTCTTCATTTTCATGTATTTTTGAATAAACCATTTTCAGCTTCTGTCCAGCCGAATGATGAAAGTCGGGAGCGGCTGGAGGAAGTGATGTTGGAAGAGTTTCTCTCAGGAAAAAAGCCGGATTCTATCGATTAACCTATGATCAACACACTACTAATGTGTTCTTTGGGTTAGGTTCCACGGATGCTTCCATTGAAAAATGTAAATATGGTATTTTGAAATGTTGAGATGTGTTAAAAATTCTTCAATTTTAAAGCTTATAGATAGCTGTGAATCAGTCCGGGCTCTAGAGAAAGGACTGCATTTCATTTTCGCTCTGATACCTTATTTTAATATGAACTTGAGCTTGAAAGTACGCTTTCTCATAACTCACATACTAGTTTTAAGAAACCCATTTAATAATGACTTTTTGAGTTTTCATTCCATCACTAGCCGTTATATGTGTGCGTGTGTGCTTGCATTAATCGCATTAAAACGTTGCTCTTCCAATGACAGTACTAATCCGCGGTACATATTGAGTGATAATGTGATATGCTCTCATGGATTCTTTCTGTCGCTAGTAATTTGTTATTTTGATATAATTATAAAGGTATATGCTCGGCATAAATCTAGTCGTCATGGTTCGCAGTTCTTACCTAACGTTATTAATGTGAAGGTACGATACCATAGAATACTCTTCAATATGTGAATTTGAGCAGCTAATCCAAGGATAAATCCATATTTGATTATGTATCGTATCTGGTCTACGGATCCGTTTCTCTTGACTATACTTCTAGTCAATGTTCGACTACTTGCACTGAATCTTTAGAACTACGCTTCATACGGTGCGGCTGCCGGAACCCTACCATACTTCTTGATCTCTTTTTTTTTTCGGGAACGCCTTTTTGACCCCACACTTCAGACGCTTTTTTACCTCTGTATTTATTTTTGCTTCGCTTTTTTTCGATTCCCATTTTTGTTGTTTCCACCCCAATCACAATAACAACAATCACTCTTACAGCAACTCAGATTTTGCACGAAAGAGGAGAACGTGTGATAGTGCCAGATAGTGACAAGATTGCAGGGATTGGTGGAAGCTGACTGGTTTCTGTTCTGCCTCTTGTGCCTTTTTACAACCACACGCATATGCTAAACCTATTCATTTGAATCATAGGGAGAGCATTCTGACAACTGTGTTACATGGCTTTTATTAAACTCGATACGAATTACCAGTGTTGTTTACCAAGCGATGTATACCGCAAAAATACAGGTTTCCTAGAGAAAATGCAGATGTAACCACATGTGAAAACTAGGACTACTGTTATAGGTGACTTCACTTCGGAGTACATATTTAAACATGCCTTCATCGAATATTTTTATTGCTTTTGTCGAGTAAATTACATTGAAAAAATCCGCATTATTCATGAATTAATGCTATATTTTCTCAGCACTATCCTTAAAGGAACATTATAAATTGAGTGTAATGTAACAATGTGAGCTAACCGAAAACTATGAAGTTGCAGAGATCACGGGGCACTAGACGGTCAAAAAAAGGTGTGGGCAATGTCATAACACAATAGATGGTAATGAAGATTGTTATTCAGTCTTGTTATGATAAGCNAATGCAGATGTAACCACATGTGAAAACTAGGACTACTGTTAGAGGTGACTACACTTCGGAGTACATATTTAAACATGCCTTCATCGAATATTTTTATTGCTTTTGTCGAATAAATTACATTGAAAAAATCCGCATTATTCATGAATTAACGCTATATTTTCTCAGCACTGTCCTTAAGAAAACATTATAAATTGAGTGTAATGTAACAATAGGAGTTAACCGGAAACTATGAAGTTGCAGAGATCACAGCACTAGACGGTCAAAAAAAGGTGTGGGCAATGTCATAACACAATAGATGGTAATGAAGATTGTTATTCAGTCTTGTTATGATAAGCAATGAAGAGTGGAAGAAAACATGCAAGGATATTTGGGTCATGGAGAGGGATGAGCTGAATGCGGTGCATATGACACTTGTGGGTGGCACTGTCTTGGGAACAGTCGTATGACTGACTCATAGCAGCGTCTGTTTCCCGAAACGTGATTCAAAATGGGCCTCACCGTAAAGCAGAACTGAGTTTTAAGCGGGATGGGAACCGTAATGTGATGAGTAATTCTACAAAGGACATCAACGTGAATAACAGACCCTCCAGCAAAAGAGGTGGTGTATAACTAGAACAAACGGAAAGTGAGACTTATTTTCAGGAAGCGAAATGTTGAGAGTATAACAGAAGTTGAAGAAGTTACAGCTGCAGCTAAAGATCACTTGAGTCTAAAGCTTTTCTAACATGTGAGAAACAAAAAAATGAGAGTAAATGATGCAAGGAACACGAATAACAACAGTTATTTGAAGCTTGTGAGTCAACCTGAACGGAGGTGGACTCTTCAGCATGATGACGTTTCAATTAAAGTCAGTGAAAAATGTATCACTACGAAAATTCACAGTGCACAGCCCAGTGATCAGAGGGGAAGCATAGACAGCTTCTGATCCTCTGTTGACCCGCAAGAGTAAACTTAACTTTGGACAGCGGACCATACCAGAATATGCGGTCAAACCTTCAACAGTGTTTGTAGAATGTGAACAAAAAGGCAGTAAAAGCTAAAGTGATACGAAATAGATGATTATATCGTACCTATTCCTGGCGCCGAAACTATGTTTGTTGTCGTTTTTTCGTGTATCCCATGTGAACTCTGTATCTTTCTTCGCACCAGCCGCTAACCAAGCATCAGCAACTCCACGGGGCACGTTGGTAACCTTAAAGACCATCTGCTCTCCAAATTATAAACCGTATAAATATACTCAGTCCTACCTCGTCGTCTCTGATATTCAAATCACCTCCAAAGAATAGAAGACAGTTGGGATGTTGGGAGATCAATTCTTGAACTTTACTCATACAAATTTGAAATTGTTCCCTCCTTAAAGAAAATAAGTAAACAAATAGAAAGTAGAGACAAGGAGTGCATGACAAGGAAATGCCCATCGTACCTCGCTTTGCTATGCTCTCGCATGCTTTCTAGATGTGTATTTAATAGGAATACCCTCTGCGTACCAATTTTGCCCTGAAAGATGTAATTTAGCCAATGAAGCAAATGATTTCCAACAAGAACAACAACGATACTAAAAATATTGAAGAACCTCCAAAATCTGCAGCGTACGCCCCATTCCAGAATTCTGATAATGGATTACTTCATGCCTAAATAGTTCTACATAAGAACATGAAATATCACAAGGTCAAAGACTGAACCAACCGTTTAACCTCGAAGACCTTGCTCACAAGTATTGCCGTGTAGTAGAGGTAATCTTTATTCGAGTAAAAAATGTTATACATTTTTGACAGTCGATCAATTGTGGGTAGTTCTCTGCTGACGACTTCTTGAAGGAACACAAAGTCAGGATTCAAGCTGAATCAAGATTGTGTCAAAGTGAGGGCTACAGGAGCGCAAATAAACAAATATCATTCTAAACTCAAACTTATTTTGTAGAAACTCACTTGTTCAAAATCTTGTAAACGGCTTTCATGCGAGTCGCAAGACTATTTCCATCAAGCCCATCGATGTTCCATGATACTAACGATATTTCCAAACCCTGGAAAGGACCACTTCGAGGTATTATTGGGTAATTTACAGGATGAAGACTAACAGAAAGGTCAACTGGTGCACTTTCAACGCTCGATTGCGTTTCGGTTTGTTCAACCACCTCAATTCCATCTTCCGATTCGTTCCCAAAGAAAAAGTCTAGCGCTTTCTATAACCAAACTTCGAGTTTGCTCATTTGATATGAATAGGAAGCAGCTTGAAACAGTTTGCTCACATTGACATTCCATTCGGAGCTTTCAAGAACTGATAACGCCACATCCCTTTCGGTGTTTGATATAGCCATAAAGTCTGACAGAAGTTGTTTTTTACGCGAATCGAGTTCGTCGCCGGTTTGCCTTTCTGTAATCAATCTCCGGTATCGATTTCATGGAATCATTGATAGGTAAACGCCCACCTTTACTGTCATATACACAGCATACTTCATTGGAAGTTTTGTCGGGTCTCAAAGGGGAAATAGCTCGTCTTTTAGCGGCAGGGCCATTGGTGTCTTCACGATTAACCACATCTAAAACCGCAAATCTCCACTGGAATCGTACCTCCGAAGTCCTAAAAAGTCCAAAACATGCCCTCGGTGTCGTCTAGGAGCTGTTTCCCGTTAGAATCTACGTTCGCTCTTCTCTGCTCATCGACGGCAAGTTCGCCACTATCTTCATGGAGTTCGGACATTTCCATAAAGTATAAGGAAACCAGTAAGAGATCAGTCAATAACAACAAACACCAACAACAGTTTCAGAATCATGAAATTTCGCACATTCAAAGTTTGAACCGTTGCCAGAATTTTATTACACGCCATACGGTTGATGCGTGTTTTTGGAAGGTGAACGTGGAGGCTCCGCCCAATTTTCCGCGCCCAGCACTTGCGTGTCGTTGGTCGACGGTTATGCCGGATCTGTGTTAAACTTCCTTTCATCTTACTTCTTTCTTTTGGGAATTCTTACGTTTTCCTACAAAAGTGCTCCTACATGACTACAGTGGTGTAAGGTTGGGTCTGGGGTTATTAGGAATAAATTTTTTTTCCGCAGAAGTTGAATGCCTGAGCGAATGGCTTTATTTACTGACTCCTTTTCTTTTTGCATCATTGAAACTCTTCATCTATTAGCATTTGCTTGATGGTCGCATTTTTATTCAGGTATTCTCTTAGATGGTAGCAAGAAACGGTCAGGTTGTGATGACGATTCTCAAGGCCCGTTTTGGAAGCGATGTCCGAAAGACACCTCTTCATCATGGAAATGATCTCACCTTGAACGATCTGACCCTAATGCTACAACGAATCTTCAAAATCGGTTCCGCAGAGGCGATTGTGTTGAAGTACAAAGACAACGGTGGGTTTTGAAGAACTTATCATCGTATCTTAACTAGGTTCAAGTTCTGGCATGGCCTGTTTGCTTTGTGCTTTCGAGTTGTCTGGGGACTCGTCTGCTATTCCTTTCCTAGTGATTGATTTCAGGCAAATAAGTCCTGTTAGAAGAAACTTGGACTCTTCAGCTATATTCTGCAAGCGGGCAGTATTCGTACTGTTATTGCCAGTTCAAATGAGCTGAAGCTCTCAATGGAAAGTCAGCTTGTTGTGTTTAGGTGGAAAGAAAACATTGAAAGGATTATGAAGACTCAAAAAAAGCTTTATCGGCGCCGGGGTTTGGTACATATAAGGTGGGATATCGCTATGAAGAAGCTCGCATTAATAAGTTTTCTGAAGTAGTGACCTAATGTCAGGGAAAGCAGAGGGAAGAGAAAGGAAACTATTACAATGCGATGGTGTCGGTGAGTGGAAACACTGCTCGCGTCGTGCTTCTGAATTGATCATCACAAAGTTCGTTTGTGATTGATGGCTCTCCTTCGAGCGACCTGGTTCATGTTTAAAGAAGGAGAACAATGAAATACATAGCGCGATTTAACAGCATTCTAAAAATCGAAATTCTCGCTCGCCTTCGATTGAAATAAGGTCATGACATTTTTTTTCTTGGTGTAGCACTGCCCGGTTCCCGATAGAAGGGAGCCGCAAGTAGTTCTTCCTTTTGAAGCGATTTTATCGGATGGAATAATTCATCGGTTGTGTAATGCATAGAAATGCGATGAATCATGAAGTAAGAGAGAATTTCATAACTTGTGTGACTGGTGTACCAACTCTGTCTCTCAAACGAATTGGACTAAAACTTCGAAAATCGGGTGAAGTTCATATACATGCTACATCTTAGGTTGCAGGGCTGTTAATTCATAATCTCTTCTGGACTGTATTGGATTCGCTGCAATTCTGGGTACTTCAGTGTTAAAAACAGCTTGAGGAATAATTGCATACTGGCATTGCTACTTTGTTCTATAATTTATTACAGCTCCTTCAAGATCATTTGTTGGTGGAGCGCTGGCAGCGCTTCATATGGAAAAGTTAGCGTTTCCTACTTCTGATTTTGATCAGTGATCTGTTTCAGATGGTGATTTAATTACGTTAGCTGACGATTCTGATCTGCTTCTGGCGTTGCAGTCCGAACAAACACTGTCGATCGAAGTTTTCATCGATAACAAGGCTATCGCTGAATTGGCCGACATTCAACAGCAAATCTCTCAGATCCAGGTTAGATTGATGTCCTTATTTTGATAAGAGATATTTCGCCCACAGAATCGTACGATCTTTGTCAAGAAGATTTATAATGTTATAGATACCTAATCAGTGGTTTGCTCAACTAGGCAGTGTTCAATACGGTACAATTACTCTGTCAAAATCCATGGGATACATTTTAATTCATTCAACTCCGCAGTAATCATCGCTGTGGGTACTAGCAAGCACAGCATCTGTTGGTGGGCCTGCTTAATCATGTTCGGAGCATCATCTTGGCGGCCAATTGGAGCAAAAAGTCTTTATAGAAGACACAGATTTTCCGTGTTACCTTGCTTTGGCCACCCATTTCCCACATGTGATTCATTTCGTCAGCGTGACTTTAACGGTTTAGCACTAGACTGGGCCTACCTCATTCGCATTCATTCAGTTCTAATTATAGGCTGATGTTCAACGGCTATCGAAAACCCTTTCGAGCTTCAACATATCCAGCACTCGTGGAGCTTCGCAGCTTACAAGTTCTCAACCTTTTGAGCCAGCTGAGGTTCTTTGNTTTTTTTTTCGCTTCCACACGTCACTTCCTTAATCGTATTGTGAGACCCAACATCTGAGCGAGTACGTGTTTAAGAATCGGAACGCCGTGTCGGGATTCGGAGATCATGTTCCGCCTCTTCCGGTCAACGGATACGATGCTACATCCCTCTCTCCAAATTCACCTGTACCGTCTGAAAAGCCTGAGCTACCGGCCACTATCCAGCCATCGCTTCAAGAACAGGCACACATTGACTTTTTCAATAGCATTGATTGTAGTTTACTTACTATCAGTACCCATCTTTTCAGGTTTTGCCGGACGGTAGACAGGAGGTGTCGGCACCATGTGTGGAAGAAATTCCGTTAGAAGCAGGAGCGCCAACAGCTTTTGCTCCTCCACCTTCAGATTTCGCTCCACCCCCATCAGCACCATCTGCGGTGCAGGATCCACATGTATCCCAGCATCAATCACCAGGATTCGCTCCACCACCTCCGACGATGCCGTCTTCAATCCCGTCGTTCCCTCAGGCTAACATGCCACCCGCAAGTTTCTCTCCATCTCGTCTCCCGCATGAGCACACCCCTCCTCAGCCACCACAACAATTCGTTCCTCCTCAGCAACATGCTGCACCGCCGCAGATGCCGCCAACAAGCTTCGTACCAACGCAGCAACACCAGGTAGACAGAGCTGTGACCTTTGAACTGTCCGACAAGTCTTTCTAAAAACCACATTTCCGCTACTGTTCCAGAGTTTCGGTGCTCCACCACCGCAACAGTTCGGATCTCAGCAGCAGTTTGCTCCACCACCGCAACAGTTCGCACCACCTCAACAGGGGTCTCATCAGCCTCAACCACCCACGCCGCAATCTTCTGTATCATCGACTCCTATCCCTCAGCCATCTCAACAGTTCGGCGTTCCACATGGTGCAATTCCACAGCAATTCGTTCCACCACAGCAAGCGACACCCACGCAATTCGCTCCTCCGCCAAATCAGGTATGTCTTTTTTAAATCAGGAAATTTTTCGACATTTTTTTTTGTTAGACTGATATAAACACTGTATGGCTCGATTTTTCCAAAATTTTCCATTAGTGACAGGTTATTCAAAAGTCTTTTCATTTTCAGCGAGTTCATCGTTTCCTTCCTTTTTCTTTTCGATTCTCCCAATTACTCTCTATCAGGTCGTTTCCTTTATAGCATCATGCTCGCTCATTATGAATTTACGCGTATATCACTGCAAATAAGACGGTAGACGATCATAAATATCAAGTATGTTGAAGGTTTAGAGTACGATGCTGCTATATTGTTTTTCAAACATTGGGGATTGGGGCTTTCAATATTTGCTTTAAAACTGTTCGTTATCCGCTTTGCTGTGCTGCGCCTGCGAATTTCAGCTTTCACCATCACAAACTTACACTTTCATTCCTTAAATTCCTTAAATTTTCTGATCGACACTTATACTCTGAAATATTGTAGTGGCGGTTTATACATTGCCATGTGAAAAGAACTCAGTAGTGAAGTTTAATTTTGCTGCAGTACGAGGAATTATGCTGAAATTGAATAGATATTTAAGGGCTTTGGAGCTCCTCCACCACAGAATCAGCCACAACAGCAGCCTCCGTTTGCGCCACCACCGTCAGCCTTCGGTCAGCAGCCGCAGTTCGGACAGGGACCACCATCGGAGCCAGCGCCGCCGGCTGGAGGAGTTCCACCGCCATTCGCTCCACCGCAAATGGGTGGCTTTGCGCCACCTCCAATAGGCGGTCCTCCACCAGGAATACCTGGAGGAAATCCGTTTGCCCGAGGTCCGGGAGGACCTGGAGGGTATCGCGGTTCACCGTATCATCAGTAAAAAAGGCAGAATAATGTAATTAAGATAATTTATTCTCGTCTGACAACATTGTGATTACTCGTTCTTGCGTAGACGATTGCTAACTGTCGTATTGCGCATGTCGATCGATGGCTAGTGGNGAGGGTATCGCGGTTCACCGTATCATCAGTAAAAAAGGCAGAATAATGTAATTAAGATAATTTATTCTCGTCTGATAACATTGTGATGACTCGTTATTGCGTAGACGATTGTTAACTGTCGTATTGCGCATGTCGATCGATGGCTAGTGGTAATACGTGCGAATTCTATTTATCTATAACCTATCTTGTTTTATTCTATCTTTCATTGTGCAACTGGTGAGAGGTTGAATTGTTGAACCTAAACTTACAGAACAGTAAAATTTTTAGCGCTTCTCTTATCCGCTCCTGTATTTTGGTATTCTTGTTTATCGGTATTGTGAAATACCGTGATTTCGACGATGTAGTATTTTGGCAATACTCATCCCCAATTTCAAAAATTGATCTATAGAATCGCACGAGACATCTATTGAACGTTAAGTCGTGGAAGGCCGCGGAAGGTTGTGGTATCGATGAATAGGGTTCACGCATCAAACACTTTGTTTGGGATGTAGCAGACTACGAGTTGAGTTATGAAAATGTAAGAGAAGAAAATGTCTTGGCACTTTTTTATACTTTCATTAACTATTAGACATTTCCGAAACAATCTCAGAATTGCCAGTAAAAATAACGGCGAGCTTTTCGCTGTTGTTGAAAGGTGGATGCTTCCCGATAGCGTCAGGGGAAAAACTTCATAACTAAAAGTGAGATTGCTTCGTGAATGGTTTTATTTGCTGTAGACCTCTTCAACCTAACGACCAGCAAGTGTAAAAAAAATGGGTTGGTTCTCGAATATTACTCTGAGAAAAAAAGTTCAGGAGTGTGAGGAGTAGTGTTTTTCCCTGTGGGCCCTGGTTTTGGATAGAACCAGGGACCCTTTCGACCTGTGTCTTACAGCATTCCAGTTATCTGGATTCTACGATAAGATCCCTTTTTGGGCTTTCCTAAGCCACTTGTGGTCGACAGTTTGCTAGTTTGTGGTCAACCGGCTGTACTAACAGACCGGCATGAGCTGTTTAATATGCAGAATTCTCGATGAAAAGCTTTCCTCGCAGAGGAATAGGAACCGCTTAGCTATGAAGTCAACGTTAGTTAGAATTACTGCTCTACTGATCCTCCTAGTATATCTAGTATTGCAAACGTCCAGAGTTATTCAGATTGCCATCCAGTCAAATGACAGGTAAGGTGGCATTGGAACATCAACTGGAACATTATTAACTGGAACAAAATATTAAGCTTTACAATAGGCATACGACACATCCTATGATCATTGAGAGCCATGAAGATGTTTAAATTTCTATTTTTAGAACCCTAGTATCTTTGGTGTTGAATGACATTGATTGCAATAAAGTTTTCGATGGAGATGAGGCTGAAGCAGTCGCTGCAAAGCACTTGGAGTTCAATGGTTCTGGAATTGTTGACGCTATACTGGAGAATAAAAACAGGTATAAATGAATACGGTTACACTACAAAAAGCAAAACTCATTCATTTTTATATTTTGGAATCGACTATAACTTGATTTGCAAGGATCCAGCTGCAGAACTCTTTTTCTTCTTCAAACAATCCGACTGATGCCATTTTTGCCTATTTCGGCATACGACAACCATTTCTGATGTTCTGACTGTTTAAAATTCCGATTTGGTTACTACTCTGATGCGCTTTCCGTCTAATGACTAGTTATACTAGCGGTTCTTGCGGGTATTAATTAACTAGCGAAGTTTGTGACAACACTATCAGTTTGTACAGTTCCTTCTGATAGTGCTTGTCAATTGAATATTTCACTAATTAAGATGACTGGAATGGAAGAGTAAACAAACATGTAGCATGCGGATGAAAAAGTGAATTTCACGGAAACGTATTGCACAATCTTTTTGGAAATGAAATTACGATACGGTATTTCCGACGGTTCAAAAAAGTGGCCCTACAGTTTAATCGAAAGGAGGCGACAGCGCTTTGATGCCCAAAGGAGGGATATGTTCATCTTTAAAACAGACTCGTACTTGAGGGAACATTCTCAAGGGAGCTTATATTAGCTCTGGCTTTTCATCGTAATCGGACAACTAATCAGTAAAAGGGTACAAGCTCCGTTCGCTGGACGATATGGAAAGGAAAATTAAGTAGGGGGAACCGAACTGGAAGGAATGATTTGCAATGGGCTCATGGTTAGAGGTCACAGCCGACATTTCATTCCACGACATCATCTTAATTAAATAAGCACAACCTAAACCCGCCTGATATACGACACTCCAAAAGTGGACTGTTCACCTTTTTTGTGTCTATCGGTTGCAGATTTTACTTTATCATCGGAGCTACTCACTAATTCTTTTCTTCTCCTTCCATTTCTCTTATTTTTGTCCTCTTTGTGTATGTTCTTTGTAATTCTGATAAGCTTTCGAAAGAACGACTTCTCTCCGTCTTCTTTTACCCATAATCCCTCTATTAAGCCCAATCGTTCGTTGTATAAACCGTTCGAATGTTGCATCCAAAAGGGGTGAGGTTTCACCCATTTGTCCCGTAAGTGAGCTGTCCAGATATTCCGGCTAAGAGCAGCAATGTTCAGAGTATTACGGCTGCTGGGGTAGTAAACAGAAAATGAAACATTTCAGTTGCGATGCCATCAAGAGGTGGTTTGACTTTTTTCCAATATTGTCCGAAGAGGAGCATCGTTTCCCATTGGCCTACTCAATGCTTGTGCATAAGGATGTTACACAGGTAAAAGCTGAAATGTTTTCTTTTGTTCCATATCAATCTTTTTCTTTGTAGAAAATTCCCTTAGATTTTTGGCTAGTAGATCAATTCTTGAGGTCATAGAATCCATATAGAATCCATCGAGTAAGTTCATGATAAAACTCCTCTAAACTTAGAGTTTCATAGAACTTAAAATGATGAAAAACCGCTTGAAAACTTTCTGAAGTTTAAGTTAGTACTGGAATCTAGTGGTGAAGTTAGTAGCAGCTCATAATGGTTCAACTCATGTCATTTTGCGACACACTTTTATTAAGCCGCAATAATTCCCATATTTCCTCGTTTTTATTTTTTATTGCTCTCATCTCTTCTCGAATTCTCGTCAATCTCCCTTTTCTTCAAAACTTAATCGGAATCTGTTTGTAAGGTAATGATGTTACTCTCGGCTATCTACCAACCACAGAATCAGTTCTGTGTCGCAGTCGATGGAAATGCAGATGAGACATTTTGGCAGGTTTTGAAGGCCGTTTCTCACTGCTATCCGAATATTCGTGTTCTGGTAGGTGGTCGATGGCTTAAAAACTTGACTTCGATCCTTTTTTTCACATAAAAGGGGGTTTTTCTTCTAAATACGCTGCTCGTTGTTCTTCAGTTGAGAGCTTATAGAGAGCAAAACGGATCGAGTGGTGTTCTTATGAAATAATTGAAGCAATTTTTGGTTGTGTGATGCGACTTGCTAAGTCAACTGCCGATTGGAAGTATATGCAGGTGAACTATATCTAAATATTGCATGTAGAACCTTGTACTTGTATAGTATTCGTATGTAGATTTTATTTTATTCGGGCCAATGGTACTTAGTTCTGTTCTTCATGACTTGGTCTTCTTCAAGATTTCGTGGCCGCTCTTTTCCAAATTTGAGCGCTAGAGCGCAGAGCAAGTGGGGTAGTCGTCTGCGCGAGCCATAATGGCGATTAGGGACGTTTCTTAGCCGACAAATTATATTGTTTAACCTAAGCCTCAGAAGCGAAGGAGCATTTGGTGGGTGTGTCAATTTCATGTTCAATTTTCACCCCACCAGAGCTTGTTGCTCGAGATGATCGTCTAACCTATCTCAGTGCTCCTGCCCTCTTTAGATAAAAAACCTTGAATCAAGGAATGTTGTGGTGGTTATGAGGAACTCATTAGTCACATCAGACTTTTCATTTTCGCTAATGTAGAATTGAAATCAGATAGCGAAGAAAGTTCGAATCGGGTGGTGGTTTTCGAAAATAGCCTATTTTTGTTTTTATTTTTGCATTTTTTTTTTGACTTTTCGTAGAGTTTATACATAGACGATATCGGTGATTTGTGTTTCGAAGTTGCACATGAGCACGAAATAGACAACATGAAGATGACTGTCCTTTTTGGGACTAGGAGTGGAAATAACAGGCGAGCCGGCTCAGAATTAGTATGATTCTCATTACTGGACCTGTGGCTACAATTCAACAGTTTTCAAAAATGTGTTTCATTCAGATTCTTTCTGGAGTCGACGCTCCTTTGAAAACAAATCTCGAGATGGTTCGTATCCTAACGGCTTTGAATGGTTCGTTCAATACCGAAATAGCACCGTTCGAATGGTATCGGCTTAATCGGAAGCGGGTTCGTTTTCTATTAAAATCATTATATTCCACAATTTTACAGTAAGAACTTTTACAGCATCAGAACATGAAAATGCGGTCAGGAGCCGAGTTCTCTATTGATCAGTTGATTACAGATGAAAGACTCTCCGCTTCCAATTATCAAGAGCTCTCTTGCTGCTACATTTTCCAGAGAAGCTGCTAAATTCATGGCTGAAAATAAAGTGATGTTTTTCTTGAATCTAGAAACTGTGAAAACATGTTTTAATTCTACTTTTAAGTTTTCAGATGGTACAGGAGCAATTCCGTTTTCTTAAAGGAACCTCTTGCGCTGATGAATCGTTGTGGGGCACAATTGCGGGAAACCCTGGGCGTGAGTTTACGCAGTATAGCCGTAATAGCTTCTCTGAAGAAGAAATGATGTTTTGAAAATTAAGAAATCTCGAGTTTTATGAGTGTTCTGTGTGTATTGGGTTGTCAGTCATGGGACGTTAAGGGCGAGAAAGTCAAATATTTGGATCTATGACCACAGATTTACAATTACTCGAAGAATTATTGTCAAAAACTTTTTGTTCATTCGCGTTAGGTTTCAGCATGGGGAAAGGGATATATCTTTGTAGAAGAAAAATTAGATTGCGGAGTAAGGAACCTGCATTTTCGGGTGGTTCTACATCTAATAGGTAGATTTATTGAAACGTATTCGTTCGGTTACCTTTTTTCTTCTGTAGATACAATCATAATTATGACTCGGTGAATCCCATCGCTGAAATAGTTCTCATGAATGAATTAATATTCTCGATTGATTGCTCAATCTTTGTTTAGGTTCTGCTATTTTTTATTTTAATTTACTTCAGTGCTTCCCATGCCTGGTGGCTTTGACGGCAGAGATTTCCTGTGGCGAAAATATGGTGGAACGATTGACAAGAGGTGAATTCCCTAACTTTTTGATTTAATTCAAATCTCAGAGTGGATTGAATTTAGCACCAGCTTATTTTGGAAATAAATTGTTATCATTTGAAGGCGACGTGTTCATGGGGATCCGTGGACTGCTCCACCCATCTTGACTTCATCGCCGCAGTCATGGAGTGGAATATCAGGAAATGTGGTTTATTCGTACGCAATATCGCGATACCAACAGTGGATGATCAACACAAACTCTTTGTGTAGAGGTGGGATTTCCATTTCTTTTATGAGCTACTTTGGAACAACTGCTGTTCTATTGTAGGCGACCTTTACGAGCATACGATATGCTTTTACAGCGTAGTCAGCTGTGCATGACGCGGTGGAAAATTTTCTAACCGGAAGGGTGCATAAACAAAAGTCGTCACTGTCTAAAAGTAACTTTTCGCGTTATAGGTCGGTATTATCGCCTATCGTGTATATACGGAGTTGACGATCTTCCAGTACTGGTTAGACGCTCTGAATTGATGGCGCACAAGTTGTATTTAGACTTCCAACCGGCTGCCTTTTTTTGTTTGATAAAGGTAAGTTCTCACCTTTTCTGATAAGTATTAGGGGACGTTATGATAAGTATTAGGGGACGTTATGAGGTGGAATTTCGCTGGAGGTTATAAGTGAAATGGACAGTAACCCCGTGGCGGTAAGTTTTGATTTATGAGATATGGTAGAAGCCCGCCTATGAGCAAAATGTCTGAGTTTAGTTTAGTGCAACATTTTGCAATAGCGCAAATATTTTATGAAGAATGTTTGGTATACCTTAATTGGTTATTCCGATGAGATTGAAGACTGAAATGCGTGGTATATGAAGTAGGTAGAGTTTATAGTTGCATGATTACGTGCGTAATTCACACGAGATTTATTTTTAAAACAGCTCTTAGCAAGCAAACTACCTGCAATATGATTGTAACTCGGCTTTGCATACTTTTTCCTTGGGGTTGGGGAAAATTACGAGATAGTACATTCAATGAACAACGAAATAATTGAAGCTTATGAAAGGACATTCAATGATCAAATATGCTTCACCCTACCATTGAGACATTTGGATGCATTCTTCGTTTATTGTCCATCATTTTAAGGGCATATTGGCGAGGTGTTGCGGCAAACTTGACGGTGATCGAACCAGTTTGCCTTGACGAAGCTGTTGCCCAAAAAGTTCAGATCATTCTTTTTCTTGGTAAATCCTGAAGCCGACTAGTTGACCTTAAGAATTTGAGAATATGGCCGTGAACTACTGGTTACTCTGAGTCAGTCATTTTGGTTACAGTTTAAAACTAGTGAGCCCTTATCTTTTTCGAGCGGGATGAGCTTGATATAGTGAAAAAAGATCTTTAGGATTGGGTTAGATTGGATGTACAAGTAACCCCTTCGTACTCCTATGCCACATGCATGCGAACTTTTTACATGCATGCGAACTTTTTGACGGGTACTCAAAGGACAAGGAGCAGTTTATGTAAATAATAGGTTTTTTTAGTTTGAACAATTGCGCAACATAAAATTTATGAGTCTGCACTCCATATCCTTATGTGTTGAATGTAGGTGTCTTGAAAGGGTCATAAACCCTTTATGGAGCTTAAATGAGCCATGAGCCCATTGCTCGAGTACGAGCAACGTTTGAGCTACATTTTTAGTGAGGAGGATTAACTTCTTCAATGGTGTTGCAACTGCTTGCAAGTACTTGAGCACATTATTAATAGAAGATGGCAAAATTGTCAGCTCATCCTCAAGGGTTTCCATAAAAAGTCAAGTATTTTTGTGGTTACCTGCATGTTTCAAAGTATTTCGTCCACTTTCAGGAAGCTCGACGGCGCAGTCTACAACCTGTGCCGTTTTCCGCAACTCTGTACACGAACCTTCCTGATACTCCTCATAGAAATAAATTTTGAATTTCCATTACTTCTAGGTATACGAGCTCTCGTGAAAAATTCAGGTTTTGACTACATAAATACCTCGAAAGATTGAATAGCCGATGTTATCAACCACAAATGACAATTGTTACTGCTTGGCTACACGGGTTCACTTAGATAGTTCAAAAATGAATGAAAAGATGGCTTTATGGTTGATCCTCTATGCTTTGCCTGCTTACTGCAACTATTACTGTGGGCTCTCGCTTCATTGCTCTTGAGTTACAGAAATTTATGAAAGATATAAAATAAAGAAAAATCTTTCAACTGAATATATTTCGAAAAGCTTCACAACATTTGAAGAAGGTAGGATTGATGCCTCAAGTCAGGTGCTGCATGTATTACGCTTATAGAATCGATTATCACATGGTTGTGCGCTGGCATTTGATTCAGTTCCACGGAAGTATCGCAGTGGGTCGGATATGTATGTGTAATTTACTACTACAAAATATTTTGAGTTGAAGGATATCACCTCCTGTATCACCTGTCGTCCCGTTGATCATCGAAATCCTCGAGCGGGCGCCAGTAACGTCTCCATTCGTCCCTGTCACGAGCCAAAGTGGTCCAGTGAACCGTTCTCGCTTCAGGGACACGAGGTTCAACATTCCTTTCGTTCAGAGCTTTCGTGAAGAAGTCTGACCATCTCGTCGGCGGCCTTCCTGGTGTTCGTTTGATGTCCCGAGGGATCCAGTCAGTAACCGCCCTGGTCCAACGGTCATCACTATATCGCATAACGTGTCCGGCCCACCTGATCTTCGATTTCTTGGCGTAATCAACGGCATCCCTGATCTTCGTTCGGTGACGGAGCTCGGAACTCCGGATTCCCTTCTGCACTTGCGTGTATAGGGAAATTCCGAGCATCGTCCTTTCCAAAGCGCGTTGAATAACGCTGACAGCATGCTCATCCTGCTTTCGTAGAGCCCAGGTCTCCGAGGCGTACGTCAAAGCAGGAAGGACAGCAGTGTCGAAAAGGTGAGCGAAAAGCAAAAGAGTTGAAGGATAAATGATAAAATTTTTATCGTCCTCAATCACTCCCGTTCTGGAATGCTGGCCTTGAACATTATCGATCATTCCCAAACCATGTGTGTCTGTGTTGTTTTGTGTAGGAGGTAAGCAATACATTCGTCCAGGGCTGTGGCTGATCGATCTCCTCACACTGTGGTAGTCAGGTAGAGTAAGGCGGTCGGTATTTATAGAGAGAAGCTGGTCACCCTACAAGTTCATCTTATGATAAGTGTGCTGAATTCAGCGCATATTGCTGTTGGCTTATCCACCTTTATGGAGGATTGGTCTCAATTGGTCAGCAGCAACTATTGCTCGATTTCGCGATGGCCGCTGACCGACTGAGACCAATCACTCCGTGAAAGTGGATTTGTGAGCCGTTGCGCTGCGCTTATGGAGGTTTCGCAGCATCTGACAGATGACATCACTGAATCCATTAGATGACGCATCTAATTGCTCAATTTTTTTTATCAAAATTAAGAAGTTCATGACAGCGTGGGACAACTTCTATTTCTATTAAGAGAAACGAAAGCGAAAAATTGAAAATGTAAAAAATGAAATTGAAAACAAACTAGGTGAGTTTTTTTCTATCTCGACGACGCGGAAACGGCATAGGTCTCGAGTTCTTCCGACTATTAGACCAATGTCATCGCGATGATCTGGATAGAGGCAGTATTCATGTTAGTTTTCGATATCGAATTCTTTATGCCGAATAGTGAGCATTGGTCTCTTCGTGACAATCAAGCGCTGTGTGAAGGAACGAAGTGAAACTACTATGTGCTAATTCGACCGTTNTTCTAGGAGTGGATTCCAAGGATTAGAGATAGAATCTTTCATCGGTGAAAAGGTTTGCTTTTTGGAATGCGCCTCTGCATTTGACTTCTATTCATTTATAACAGTTATTTACTCATGACGGCGTTTTTGAAGCGTATGTGACCTATACAACAACTTACGGTGGCCAACCAATGTATGTACAAGCCAGTGCTTCCATCCTCCGGACGAGTCTGGTACTATAACCGACCCCAGAGAGATGAAAGTTTTGGTTGATCTGGGCGGATACCGATCCGGGATTCGATTCCGAGGCCATGTGTGTGTGTTATAGTGCGCAACTTGAGCGCTCGAGTGGAGATTGAAAAATCCATGAGGGAACATGTAGACGAACATTCTAAAGTTATAGGTAAATGATCGATTATACAAGCTTTTTTTGTAATATGGAATTTCCCAAGACTGGTTCCATTGTGGTTTTTTATTGGGCAGCAGAGGTAACTGTTTGCCTACTGAATTTGCAAAGTGGCATCCATGCATCATCGATAGTCAAGTGGATAATACAAGGTTTCTCATAGAGATTTCGTTGAAAATGCTGATCTTTTGTCAACGCTAACCCTTTTTTTTTATAATGAAGTGCCATTTTTTGCGTATTAACTGTAATGGCAACTGAGTCGAAATGCATGCGGAATAGGAAATCAGCTTTGAAAGAAAAAAAGTCTGGGCAGATTCTCAGAGATTGTAATCTCTGAAAGGCCAATCAGTATTCATTTGCGTTCCGCTCTCAGATTCATAATCCAGCTGAAATTAGGCCTGAGCGCTAGTCTAATATCTTTGTAGGATTTTCTGGTGAGATCACAGATTGCCCTTCTTATGTTACTTGTTCAAGATTGCCCTCATTTCCACAAATTTTCCCCAATTTTAAGGTTGCTTCAGATCCGAATTATGCACCACTTCCTTATGTATGTTCCGTCCATTGTGCTCAGGCCATCTCAATCTTACTTATGAACTGATTCCGTTTCTGTATTCGTGTTGTAATGACTTTGACCCTCGGTTTGGGGGTCAATTTTTCAATCCCCTCGACTATCGATGATGCATGGGTGCCACTTTGCAAATTCAGACCCAGGTGCGGAACATTTTGACGCACATGCCGCCCACAGTAGGCGGGGCTGCGCACAGAGGATGTAAGAGCCTAGAGCATACCGCACTTGTTTCATTGTGAACCACTCGAACTGCGACTTGGGCTTTTTAAATTCTTTCTTGAGTAATATTTGGTTCAGTGAAGCCGGAAAGCATAAGCAGGTTCATACGCTGCACATCTGTTTCTTAGCTCTTCTTCAATCACTATGATTGGGGGATTCCGAATTTTCCTGTGATACTGTACAAATTCGATATGTTTGCTATCGGGACCTCTAGCTTGGGGGAACGCTCTTCATTACTGATAATGGTGAGGGTGAGAATGAGGCATAGACCAACAGTTTCAGTGCCTTTCTGCATTTTATAACCCCTGGATAGACAATTCTACTTCCAAACCCAGGGACAAACGTTTCAATGGGATCCACGAAAAACTGGAATGCGCAAGGACATAGCACTCGTGGAACACTTCTTCGCGGGAAAGCGCAGGCTAAAACTAGAAAAAAATCAGCTGAGCTGAGAAAAATCGTGTGAATGTGCTCCTCCGTAGGGAATAGGATGAAAAGTACAAACTGGTGCTTGAATGGACTAATTTTGAAGGCCTATTTTACGGCTGTTCGACCTAGAACTGGTACGGCTTCTGGGCTGATCGAGCATGACTTTTTTTGGTTGAGCATGTGAACTTCAGTAAGTGATAAGTTGGTTTCGCTAATTGAGCGTCCTCTCATGGAAATATTCAATTTGTTCGATGTTTCTATTGCTCCCACTTTGAGCTATGCCACACATTTTGTTCCCATCCAAAATTCTACGGGCATTCGAATGTGGTTTTTGAGCGTCGCAATAAGTTGTGAAGGACATTTTACATACCACTTCATCATTTTATATTATTATTATTATATCGCATCATTATTTTCATGCACAGATTATCTTTGACGCATCTTTAACAAGTCCCATTGAGCTCATCGAGCTACGTACTCATAATTTCCCTTCTACACTGAAAAATGCATCAAAAGTGACGAATCCCTTTGAATATAACTCTGGCTTTTTTTGGCCACGCAAAATATATAGTGCTCGTACATCTTTGCTTTAATATTCATTCCTTACGTTTGTCTCTCAGTAAACAATGGTGCCCAGTCTTTCATGTCAGGTACCCCTAAACAATTTCGTTTGCATTGAATTGGATTAGTCAACAGAATTAGCCAGGTAACTGACAATGACGTTTTCGACCGTGACTTCAGTTGTAGTATATGGGACAGAGAGTGGAACAAAACCAAGCGCGAGGTCCCCGTCAAAAGAAGAAACTTGAGCCAGAGCGCAGACTTTCGGTCAGTCTACTAGTCATCCAAGTAGTGTAAGGGATAAAAGGCACAGTGCTCGGAAAGCAGAAGTGCGGGTTTCAGTTACGTCCTAGGCCGAAGTATTGCCTATAAATTACCACTCTTGCGAGTTAACCGAGAATTCCTCGTCCATAAAGTCCTTCATCCAACTTGTTTTGTTTTTGGAGTTTATTTTTGTGTTACAATTTGTCTAATGTATCTGATTAGCAGTCATTTCGGCCATGGTTGGAACTGCTTGTTAGGGGAACTTCATCGGCCCCTTAATGGTTTTAACTCAGTAGCTGGGGTTGACTGACGACATTCCTTGCAGTGGTCATTCTCCCCAGACGGACAGCACTTATTCGACACTCATTGTGAGTCATAAAAGTACTTGAACCTCGGTATATCTTGCTCACGGTATAGCTTATATGGCCCAACAAAAGTGTATGACATTGCACCGCCGATAA